GGTGTCCCACCTACTCAAGGGCACATATCACTCCCGTCCGCCTCAGCCTCGCTACACGGATATCTGCATGCGATGTCCAGAGGGTACTGGACTACCTTAGGTCCGGGACACTGACTACATGGCACGTGATTGTTGCCCGTACTCCAGCGAATCAGCACCTTTCGCGCCGCGGGCAATAATATGCGATATTGCCCGCAAAAAAATAGTTTATTTGCCCGCAAAAAAATAGTTTATTTCAGTGATCGCGTGACTAGACTGTACTACGAGTCTACGACGACTCGACTGTACGACTCTACGACGAGTCGCAGTGTAGCATTGAGACGAAGATGGAATTGTTTTTGGAGATGGACGTCCCGGCAATGGACATGGCCTCGGACGTCTGCCGTGTGGTGCTTGCAGGGATCATTTGTTCAGTCATGTTGGCAGCCTGACCGTCGGTAAGCTTGTGGATAAGATTCAGTTCTGCTCGATGTGCACATGTGGTACTGTGATCACAAACAATTATTTGAAATAACACAAACGAGAGAGCTTGGAAGCTCAGGGCCCTACGCTATGCTTTTTTGCCTTGATGACCTAGACAAAAAAAAAGCATAGGGATGTTATAAATTCTTTAAAAAATTCCTTTTTTTTAGACATAACCTGGGATTCGAACCCGCACTATCGCGCGCCCTGCATTCATCCCCCGATGCACTTCGCATACATACTAATTCTTCCAAGTTGTTTCACATTGTGATCTTGCATTTGAAAGCCCTATTTGAGTTATATGCATTGTGGCCAGCCGTCTTTGATGGCACGGTACGGTAGGGGATAGGGACGGGACAGGTACGATCGAGGGTAATACGACACCGTCTCCCGTACCGTACCGTACCATCAAACACAGCTGGCCACATACAGCTTCCCGCAATATTCAAATAGGGCTTTCAAACGCAAGATAATAACGTAACGCAACTTGGAAGAATGGGTATGAATGCGAAGTGTATGGGGGAATGCATGTAGGGCGATAGTGCGGGTTCGAATCCCAGGATATGCCTGAAAAAAAGGAGAATTGAAAAATTTATAACATCCTATGCTTTTTTGCCGTCAGATACGGATAGCGCCAGGCGTGACACAAACAAACACACAAACAAACACCAAACGAGAGAGCTTGGAAGCTCAGGGCCCTGCGCTATGCTTTTTTGCTTTGATGACCTAGACAAAAAAAAGCATAGGGATGTTATAAATTCTTTTAAAAAAATCCTTTTTTTTAAACCTGGGATTCGAACCCGCACTATCGCGCGCCCTGCATGCATCCCCCGATACACTTCGCATACATACTAATTCTTCCAAGTTGTTTCACATTGTGATCTTGCATTTGAAAGCCCTATTTGAATATGCATTGTGGCCAGCCATCTTTGATGGCACGGTACGGTAGGGAATAGGTACGGGACAGGTACGATCGAGGGTAATACGACAAACATTCTAGCTGCCCGCAATATTCAAATAGGGCTTTCAAACGCAAGATTAACGTGAAGCAACTTGGAAGAATGGGTATGAATGCGAAGTGTATGGGGGAATGCATGCAGGGCGATAGTGCGGGTTCGAATCCCAGGATATGCCTGAAAAAAAAGGAGAATTGAAAAATTTATAACATCCTATGCTTTTTTGCCGTCAGATACGGATAGCGCCAGGCGTGACACAAACAAACAAACAAACAAACACACAAACAAACAAATACCAAACGAGAGAGCTTGGAAGCTCAGGGCCCTACGCTATGCTTTTTTGTCTGGTCATCATGCATGTGACGTGCCAAAGCCGTGTGAACCCTGGCTAGCGCCAAACGATACTGAAGTAACGTCTGTTGCACTACTACGGCGTTAATATTTTTTGTATATTTTTAATTTTTAATTTTTTTGTTACGTTTCCTGTGAACGGTAGGCGTATGCGGATAATGCCGGCAGAAAAATTGGCAAATTCGGTGGAGTTCCAAAACAGGCCTAAACCTAATTCGGTACTTTTTTGGTAAGTTTCCTGCATGTTTGGTATGTGGATAAAGAAATGGAGCAGAATTCGAGGAATTGCCCGCCATAGGTTTGTATGGTTCTGCTAATTTCACTGCTTTTCGAGCAGAATCTGCCACCTTTTCGAGCATTATCCGCACACCCCTAGTGACCGGCGCTGACTCTGCCGATCACGGGCGTTCTGGAGTCGACGCGATGTCTGTCCTGCCGTTTCCTGTGACCGGGGCTGACTCTGCCGATCACGAATGTTCTGGAGTCGACGGGATCTCTCTTCCGACGTTTCCTGTTACCGGCGCTGACTCTGCCGATCACGGACGTTCTGGAGTCGACGGGATCTCTCTTCCGACGTTTCCTGTGACTGGCGCTGACTCGCCCGTTCAGGATTATTTTGGAGACGACGGGATCTCTCTTCCAAAGGTTGTTTTAGCTGACGCATCATGTCACATATTCGGCAACTAACGTCCATTCTAATTGCATTTCTTCATCTCCCTACTTCGTATTTCTTTCAAGAAAATCTCCCTAGACAGCACGGAGTCGTTTACATAATACGACTCCCTGCTATACATCTATATACGTTATAATTATTATGCTATCGGCCTACATGCGACTCCCGGGCTGGTCGACAGGCGGCCCAGCCAGCCTGCTAGTGGGATCTCGGCCTCGCACACAAATCCACACAAAATGTTACTGCACTGAATGCACTCCCCCGATACACTCCGCATATATACTCATTCTCTTGATTGTACCGTATTCTTGATGGTACGGGACAGGTACGGGATAGCGTCAGGCATGCCGATGGCACAAACAAACCAAAATATATTGTGGCCAGCTGTCTTGGCTGGTACGGTACGGTACGGTACGGGACAGATACGGGATAGCGCCAGGCGTGACACAAACAAACAAACAAACAAACAAACAAACAAACAAACAAACACCAAATTAAAGCTGTGTGGACCCTGGCTAGCGCCAGACGTTACTGAAGTAACGTCTTCTGCATAGCTACGGGAATTAAAGCTGTGTGGACCCTGGCTAGCGCCAGACGTTACTGAAGTAACGTCTTCTGCATAGCTACGGGAATTAAAGCTGTGTGGACCCTGGCTAGCGCCAGACGTTACTGAAGTAACGTCTTCTGCATAGCTACGGGAATAAATTCAACTCAGCATCGTGCGTTTTCAGATCCTCGAAAAGTCACTGCCTGTGTGTGGTCTTCATGTGCCACGCATAACTCTTACCAGGGTCATCTGTCCTCTGCCTTCACCTTTGCTTGAACAACAAACACAACAATTCAGGAATGTTTTGCAATGAAAAATACAGCTATCTGGAGCTGATAAAAAGAAGAAAAATTGTCCTCAGAATTACACACCACGGAGTCGTCAAATACTTGCAGTACTGTATTTGACACCTTCCTGATACACATGTAAACATGAAGAAACTCTTGAGTGGTAGCACTCTTTTCAACTGAAATTATGATTCTGCTGTGTTTTATTGTGGTTGCCATGTCTATTGCCATGACGATGCCGTGCCGGCACTTTTTTCTTTCTCCGTCTTTCAGTACTGTTTACTCTCTGATGGCCTGTAGCAGACTTTTTGTGAGGGTGTAGGAGAAATATCTTCATTTTTCCTGTTTTGATAATGATAGCACTGCCTCATCAATATACATTGTGGTCATAATGTGTTGGCATTTGGGATAGTTTCAACAGCAGCCCAATGGTCTGCTCTGTGGGCCATGTGATAAATGTGTTATCGCATGGTTGCTGCGGGCCTTATGGCATATTATTGCCCCTCGAGGTTAGCCCTCGGGCCTACGGCCCTCGGGCTAACCTCTCGGGGCAATAATATGCCATAAGGCCCTTGCAACCATGCGATAACATATACTTATAGGGGGCCGTTAAAACTTAAAATCCTTGATTTTCTATCTGGCTATGCTCCTGGCTTTGACTGGTGTGAGGCAAGCATCAGAGCTCCAGAAGTTGGATGTCTGTATCATGACGGTTTCGGCGGACAAGGTTAGGGCGCGTTCAGACTACCGATAAAAAGTGACTGATTGGGAAAGTCGCCAAGGTGATTTGATCACGTGACGTTACTGGCACGTTACCGGTGGGAAAGTTTTACTGGCGCGGCTGCTGCGGCAGTAAACTTTTACCGGCAGTAAAAAAGTGCTCAGGCTGCATGCGCGCTGGGAAAAAAGGGAAAATCCCTTGTCAGTGCCGCGGTGAGAGCTGAAAACTTCACGGTAACGTCAGTTTGTTATCGGTAGTGTGAATGTCCTTCACGGTTTATCGGCATTCACGGTTTGACAGGGTTCACGGTAGTCTGAATGCGCCCTTAACGTTGGCATGCCGGCCCTCCCGGACCAAGAACCAGCGCCCTGCCCTGGTGATCCTGCCAAACCGTATGGGTAGTAGCAAGAGTACGGTTTATGTACTCTTGGTAGTAGGCCCAGCTGGGCCTACTGGCCATAGATCTACGGTTTGCAGATCACTGATGTACATGTAAATCTACATACAATCATCAATATATTGACCTTTGATAAATACCCACACTCATTAGTGACCACACCATCAACAGTATCAAATTCAAATAAACTTGCTTGACTCAATAAATACCACTGTACTTTTCCATGCAGCACTGCACTTTTCCCTAAAAAGGAGTATTTTATAAACAGTATTTATTGGCCTTAGTGGTATTTTATAAACAGTATTTATGAAATACCACAAAGGCCAATAAATACTGTTTATAAAATACTCCTTTTTAGGGAAAGCGAAGGTCAACATATTATGCATAATAAATGTAGTAGCCTCAGGATTTATTGCAATTACATACCAGTTATAAAAACCTCGGGGGACCTCGGTTTTTATACTGGTATGTAATTGCAATAAATCCTTCGGCTCTACATTTATTATACATACAGTCATGTACATTGTAGGTCTACATGCATAATCGATCACACATGCACACAACATAAATTTTATGTGTGTACCCGATCGTACTCGATTCAGTCAACAACATACTGTAGTAATTGAAATTTTCAGTTCACTGGTTCAACAACACTAACAGCTTGAACAAGACAGTTGGTATGCTTTGGATTTGTCTGGAGTTTTGTGTTCGGCACGGGCCAAACCTTTAGTTTAGTGAGCGAGGAAAGAAACGGTAGGGTCTAGGAGTTGAAATCGGATGGAGAATATCGCAATGTCCTGTAGATGTCGTTTCTAGCTTCAGCAGATGTCGGCTGTATGACTTGTGCTTTGTGACGAGAATAAATCAATTTGAGTATCGTTGTTGGACGTTTATTGGCGGTTGGTTAATGTAGATGATACCTCCACTCCTTTAGTCATGGCTACATCTGGGATGGACACCCGGGCCTCCACTGTTGCCGCTGATGTGCGGAAGTTCGTGGATCAGAGTAGGATTGTTCGTGAAGTTCATCAAGACACTGTTGATGTGTTTGAAAAAATGAAGTCCTTCTCTAATCGCTCAGTTTCCGACACGGCAGTCCTGACTGATGAGCAGTCCTCTGCTATTCAGAGTGTATTCGAACAATCTCCCACTATCATAGTTCTGGGTCGCAAGGAGCTCCGTCGTCCCATCCTCAACTTCCTTGCAGGCGAGGAAGTTTTCCCATCAGCATTAGATGAAGACCTAGGTGGAGAGTGGAGAACTGTGGTGTTGAAATCAGGAAAGCAAGCCTCTGTAAGACTGGTGTATAGTGACGATGAAATGGCTGACAGTTATGAGATCACAGAATCGGATCCAGTCGAGCAGTCAGCATCACATGCCACTGCACCGTCTTCTCCAAGACTGAGCGTCCGTGATGTTCTGGTCGAAAGCGGCAACAAGGCTCTCTCGGACGTGCACGTAGAGGTAACGCTCACGACGGAGGTGTTTGAGAGTGGCCTTGTTGTCGTGTCCTGTGCCACGCATGATGGCTATGCTACTGGCTGCATTGCAGAGTGTATCAAGGGCCGCCTGCCATTCTTCGTTTTCCCAATCGATCTCGCCGCAAGCCTCACACAGGAGGTACGTGTGCCAGGCCAGGAGCTTTGTGCGGTGGTGCACTATGCACAATGCAGTGCATGCGTACACGAATGAACGTGCTAACACCCATCCACTTGCACGCGCGCACACACACACACACACACACACACACACGCATACCACACACGCATACCACACACACGCACACACACACGCGCGCGCGCGCGAACCTTGAACGCCCATTGCCATAGCAATGATAGCGATGGCTTCCTCACGCTGAGGCTCTAAACCCGAAATCTGCAGTATGGCGCATGCCGCTTGAGGTCACCAGGACGACGGAACACTCTGTCACAGCGGTAGTTGGGGCACGGGAAGTCTGGGGCTTTGCATACCACACACACACACACACACACACACGCATGCGTGTACATACACGCACACACACACACACAACACTACCTACTTGTATTTACAACGGTATTATGTCATCAGTTCTTGTAGCAAGATTTTATAGTGTTTTTCGGCATAATAAATATGATGTATGTACTGTCACTCTCGGCATGTTTAGCATTACATTATTTTTTGGCAATAGCAACACCGAAAGGTTGCCATCCTATCTAGCTCCTGTTCTGACTTTTCTGTGTGCTCTATATGTTTGTCGTCGGTTCAGGAAAGGAGCATGTTGGACTTTATCCGTGTCCGCTGTCCACAATGCCCTGTTCTCTTTGTCGGCGCGTCCGTGAATGCAAACGTGCTCTCGCCGTCGTCACCACCCATCCGACCAGCGGCCACCGTCGGAATGCCATCGTCGGCCACATTGGCTACAAGCACACCAGCGACAACAGCTGCCTATCAATCCCAAATTTCCCGTGAGGCCACGCCAGTTCATGAGATTCTGATCAAGCACGGCTTCTTCAGCGACCCCACGGCAGCCGCTACACCCGATCCCGACGGTGCGCAGTCGTTCATTGGAGCCACCGCTGCGGTTGCTGCTGCTGCCGCTGCCGCCACTGCTGCTCCCAGTGCGTCTCGTGCCGCTACGACTGCCAATGGTGGATCTGGTGTTCATCCCCTGTCTGGCTCGGTACCTCCCCCGGATTGTGAGTATTGTATTAATGGGCGTAGAACGCTAGCTTGCGATTGAGGTTATGCGATTACATCATCAGTTACATCTTGCAGGGGTGAATTTACTGTTATTTTTGTTGTATAGCAGGTTTGGCTATACAAAATTTCACTTGTGTGGCAATCTTTGATTTTTGATTAGCACAAAAACGATGTCTGTTTACATGTCCTGCTAGCGTCCACCCTACGCATGGTTACTTGCATCATACATGTGCACGCATATTGAGAGTATAGTTATGTACCACCTACACTGCACTGTATGTATGTATGTATGTATGTATGTATGTATGTATGTATGTATGTATGTATGAATGTATGTATGTATGTATGTATTCTTTATTTTACTTCGCAAAGTCAAACGGGATCGTTACTTGATGGTGCAAGCTAGGAATGGATCGCCTGTATGCATCGCAGTTTTCTGCGAGTCGTGATTTTTGAGTAGCAGTAGATTGATTTTGCTTAGCAAACTGCGTTGCGAGACCGGATAAATTCATACCTGAGATGCTTTGGCAAAGTCGCGGGACAGTGATGAACTAGCGACTCCCGCTGTATACATAGCACCCATAAGCAGTTCGGCTGACTCACCATCATGGTATTATTCACGTAACCTCTATAGACTGCACTACACTTACCCAATTCTGAGCTTCTACGGAGAAGCTGATTGATGGTGACACCAAGCAGCCGTGGCCATTGTGCTGGTGCAGGCCGTGGTGGTCACCATTAATGTTGATAATGCAATGTACTGCTTTCAGTGCTTTGTGAACCTGGTATGATCTGGGGGTTAAAAAAATTAGTGCATTATTGATGTGATCTTTTCCTCCGGTGTTGTGTTGCAGTGAGTCGTTTCCAGCCGTCTCATCGTTTCTGTGAAGATCCCGACGATCTGACCAGCCAGTTTGGTCTGTTCATGTCGGTCAACCTGAGCTACTGGCTGCTGCGTGCCGCTGCATGCCTGCATCGCTTGCACATAGACTGCCTGACGTCATTCATTCATGTAGCATTTGAGATGTCCCGGGATGTGCTGCTGACGCCGCAGCGAATACGCTATGTGCGAACGCAGGAGCATCGTCTGTTCTCTTCGCTGATGGATGTGGCCGGTTCCAAGCAGGATGAGCTACGGCGCATGATGGACGAAATGCTAGAGACGCTTAGTCCGCAGCTGAGGCAAGAGGCAACCACTTTTGAGTTTACCGGTGTAGATATTCCGGCTGACTGCGTTGTCAGGGACAGCAAGACACTGCGCATTTGTCACAGCCAGGTAGGACATAATGCCTGAGAGAGACGGAGAGACAGCGAGAGAAAGAGAGAGAGAGAGAGAGAGAGAGAGAGAGAGAGAGAGAGAGAGAGAGAGAGGGAGAGAGAGAGAGAGAGAGGGAGGGAGGGAGGGAGGGAGAGTTGTATCCTGGCCATTTCTACAGTCAGTGCTGTGTTTTGTGTCAATGTGGCCTAAGAAATTGCTGCAAAGCCCCTAGCACTAATATCTACGACTATGTGAGGCTCACTTTTAAAGGCAGCCTTTCATTCGTCTCCATCCGCTGTACATGTGTACGGAAGTATCTGTTAGTAATTATTATCCATGATGTGCTTGTTTTCATGTACTGTCACTGTAGATCAAGGCATTTGTGTTTGAAAAGCTCAGCTCCTACGTTGCTACTCAGATATCTTCATCTGTAAATGGCTTGAAGGAGAGTTTGCTTGGCACGCTGAAGCGATGCCTGCAGTCTCTTGAGGAACACATCATGTCTGACGAAGCCCTGGCTGCTGGGTAAGAATGCGCCAGTGCTTTCTAGTGCCTGACGTGGTGTTTGGACTGCTTCTCTTGACTGCACCGCATGCTGGCTCCTGTCAGGATAGCCCTAAACTAAAGCGGGCTGACCTTAGGTTGCTTTGTGCGTCCTTCCAGATCTTGATTGTCTTGAATACAAATTGATATTGGTCTTGATTGCTATATGATGTCCAGAGTTAGTCTTCGCTCAGTAGTGGTTTGTGTTGCCAACTTTGTGTATAGAGGCCGTTCAATTGAAAGTCATTCGGTTGAGGTGTTTTTATGTCGAGCAGCATCAAACACAATAGTTTGCCACTCGATGCACGCCTCTAATACACCATATTGTCATTTGAATTGGGGAGTAGTAAAATACTGGTATTTTACTACTCCCTGATTTGAATGTCATGCAAAACTCCCACCACTTTGGGAGCTGCATCTGTGCCTTGATCCTTGAGGGCTGTGGCGTTCCCGCGGATGCGGACAACTCAGTCTGACCGAGTCCCACGCAACCCGTGAAGTTTATTTCATTTTCACTGGTTGTAACCTGCGTCTCTAACAGCTCAGCTGCATGTGTCACTGTGTCACTGTCTTCTGTCGTTAGATCTGATGATTGGGCGCTGGTTAGTCATGAAGGTGAGATCATCGCAGATCCAGAAGAGAATGCTGCGGCCTCTGCGACTTCTAAATCGTGAGTTGCCTCTTGTGTGTTGTGCAAGTAAGGGTGATGGCCTGTAATGTATTGCTGTGCCCTGCAGCGGTGTCTGCAGGAAATGGCCATGGCATGTATACGTATATCCCTTGTCTATGCCCACGTAGCTCAGTGGTCCTGGATTCTACTCAGGGATATGGCTGACACAGGCAGACACATACTGTACATGTAATTATACCGATAGGGCCTGTGCCGGTTTCCTGGAAGAGGTCTCCTCTCTCTCCCGCTCCGTCTCTCTCCCGCTCCGTCTCTCTCCTTACCCCTCTCCCAAGTACCAGCACACGACCCGTATGGGGGTGGTAGTGAGCCAGGTGTCTGGCTAATCTTCGCATAAATAGAGCGTGGCATGCACAATGGAATCGGCATCATGTACATGTATACCTACCGCTCCAATGGTCTTCATACTAGCTTTCTTGGTTGTCGTTAACGCAGGGCTTTGACGATGACAAGCTCCACCACGGCCGCTCTGCACGAGCTGCTCTCAACAGTGTACCACCTGGAGTTCAACGAGCGCATAACTCAGTCTGGACTGCAGGTTCTACTGGACCGTCTCAAGAACACACTGCGATTCATCCCCTGGAAGTCCAGTGTCGCCGTGGACGAGGCGTGGCGACGCAGCGTGGCTGACAAGCAGGTAGAAAGTCTCAGCGCATCGCGCCTGGCCAAGACCATATGCGCGCAGTTCCGCTCCAATTTGGTGCGAGCACACGACCGCTTCACCTTGGCGCTGCGCGAGTTGGAAGTGCTTCACTCGGCGCGTTTGCAGGAGACGGATGAAGCGCGTGGCGAGGTAAACTTGAGAGATCACTAGGCCACGGCAATATGGATGAATTTGTACAGTGTTGTCGTTGGATTGCAGTGTTATCTCAAGGTGTCCAGTATGAACACGTTTGAGTGGGCAATGGCTGTGTGTATGCATGTGTGTAGCTGACTAGCATTCGTAGTCATGTGTGCCCATTCCGTCACACTAGTCAAACTAAACTGACTATCTGGACTAGTAAAACTAGGGAGGATTGGACTTGAATGTTGTCACCGGTTCAGTTGGATGTCCAATTGTCCACGTAACATTTCTTCTCCTGCTGTTTGAGCTGTTTCTGTCTTGCCTTGCTCATTGATGCCTTATCCTAATTCAGCTCCGCAAGAGGTTTGCACCGCATGTCGCTCGCCTGGCTCTGCACAGTACGTCACTGAGCGACCTGATTCGCCACGGAATGCCTCGTGTCGGTCACGAGCTGGGCCGGGGTCAGTACGGTGTGGTCTACACGTGCCAGGCGTGGGCCAACAAGCGGCCCGTATGCGTGAAGTCCGTCGTGCCGCCGGATGAGAAGCACTGGAATGACCTGGCGCTGGAGTTTCACTATATGTGGTATGTGCATGTGCATCTTGTTGATGTGTGGGTGGGGGGGGGGGGGGGGGGGCATACCTTTACTTCCTCCATAGGCTAACACTTGATAACGGGGTAAGCTCGAAACAGCTGTATGAAGGAATTCAGTACCAACGGATGTGTCGCTTTTCTGATGGTGTGCTATGTCAATGTCGTGTCGACGTCGGCTGGAGAGCGCAGTTGTTGTGTGGCGGTTGATGAAAAAAAAGGCTAAAACTTGGCATGTTTTCTGTGTTCACAGTGGGCCAGGTTCTGGTTGACGCCGCAGTGCCTTTATGTTTGTGGGAATGCAGGGGTGTGCGTGTGAATGCAACTACAGTGCTGCTCAACGGCATGTGATCGAAAGGGTCAGATTTGCGCCCTGCACCAGCGAACATCCCAGTGTTCCCAGGCCTCGGACTGCACAGCCCCGCCGCCGCGTATTTGACTCACGCAGTCAGATTTCATTGAGCAGCACTGTACATTGCTTTTGAATGTTGGTGTGAGAGATATATTAATAGCTTTCGCCCACATTTCATATCAACAACAGTATTCTGTGGTTGTGGCTACTAGTCTTCATGTAAATCTGGCAAAATATCTTTGAGCCTGATGTTCAAATTACTGCTGTATGAATCGTTGACGTTGCTCCGCTACCCATGCACGCTCACGTTGTGCAGGAGCCTCCCGGATCACCCGCGCATCGTGACGCTGCACGGCTCTGTGGTGGACTACTCGTACGGCGGCGGCGACACCCCGGCCGTCCTGCTCATCCTGGAGCGCATGCAGCGAGACTTGCACAGTGGCATCCGCTCCGGCCTCTCCTGGGCCAAGCGCCTGGTGGTCGCCTGCGACGTCATCGAGGGCATTCGCTTTCTGCACAGCCAGGGGCTGATCCACCGGGATATCAAGCTGAAGAACGTCTTGGTAAGTGTAATGTCACCTTGTGTACTAGTACATGTGCATGATTCTTATCTGACAAGTGTTGACACAGTTCGGAACTTCCCATGGACTTCTGGAATGATTGGGATGAGATTCCTCATACATTGCCTCAAGAATGCTATGGTGCTGTGACTGCTGGCTTTACCCTATTATCAAGACTTAATGTACTTTGGAACACTCAATGCTAGCGTTTTTTATTTATTTATTTAACATGGACAGTGTTATGTAAAGGTAATGGGAGCCCGTAGTCAATTCTCACTGTAGGGGCAGGAGGTGTTGGAGACCTCCTGTTTCAATGAGCTCAGCATGGTGAGAGGTGCTCATCTCCCCTCCCGTCGCCCTTGTCTTCCAAACCACAGTCAAGTACCCAGTCCCAGATGGTGGTGGTGTGTGTGTGGGGCGGGGGGGGGGGGGGGGGGGATAATTTTCTCGCAAACTGGGGATCGAATCCACATCGTTCGAAAGGCCAATTTTTCTAACTGCTTTCCCAACCACACACTCACTGTGATGAGGTACGCATGTATGTGATGTACCCCGACCCCCCCCCCCCCCCCCCCCCACGCACACACATACACCATCCATGGTGCACTCTGGCTCTTGTGTGTGTGCTCCCTTCAGCTGGATGACACCGATCGTGCCAAGCTCACTGACCTTGGTTTCTGCAAGCCCGAAGCCATGATGACTTGCTCGGTGGTGGGTACTCCTATACACATGGCGCCCGAGCTGTTCAGTGGCACATACTCGGTGTCCGTGGACGTGTACGCGTTTGGCATTCTCTTCTGGTACATCTGCAGCAATCAAACGCGCCTGCCCAGCGCGTACGACCGCTGCCACAGCAAGGACCAGCTGTGGTACGAGGTGCAGCGCGGCCTGCGGCCCGAGTGCCTGCCAATGTTCGACAAGGAGTGCTGGGACCTCATGGTATCTTGTTGGGGTGAGAAGAGCGAGGACCGACCTCTGCCCGGCGTTCTCTCTGCCAAACTGCAGGAGATGGTTGATCAGGCCCGCCAGAAGCCCAGGTCCAGTCACCGCCATAGTGTGAAGTGATCCATCCATCCACCATGTCGAATGTCATCCATCACGTGTACACGATGTAAAATTGCATACCACTGCTGGACAGTTTGGCTGAATGCACGTCGTCATCTTTCACTGCGTGTCCTTGTCGCCTGTACACATTGCATGTGCGTACATGTAGCACTGCTGGACAGTCTGATGGAGGCCGTCTCGCACCGCTCTAGCGTGCTGTTGGGTTTTGTGAAAGCCCCTACTCAATCAAGTCAGACACAGTCAGACACGGTCTTCTTGATCATGCTGTGCATCACGTGCCATGTAACTCAGACCTGCTTTGTAAGCTGCTCTCCTTTTCCTATCATGTGTGAGTGCATGCGTACGTTTTGGTACTTGCTGCTACTGCTGCTGATGCATTGCCTGCTGCTTTATCTTGTCCACAACGGGTGAGCTGGTCCTGCTGTTCTGTTCCAGGACTTGGCTTTCCCCGAATTTTGTCCTGCACGTGATGGCTTGAAAGTGGGACTGGCCAATGCCATTGTGCCTTGTTTCTCTTGTTGGGAACTCAATAATGTCTTACGAGGAGAAACACGGGTCATTAGTGATCTTGGGCTTGCTGCTGTGTTGTCCAGTGTGGTTTAACAGCATAATGTCACCCGTTGTTTCCTCGTTTCCCCTCAGTATTAGTATTGGTCATCTCAGTTATTGGCTTATTGCCACGGACACCTGCCGCCCTGTTTAGTCTTAGAACTGGAACAGTCCTACTTGTCGCAATCCCATCATCCCGTCAAACTTAGCCGTTGCTTGGTCTTGATATTGTCCGGTCTAGTCGAGATATGTAGTGCTGAGTTCTGTGCAGTTTGTTCACTTCTAGTACTGTATCGTCTTGCACTTCCGACGCATTTGCAATGTATTTGAAGCCCGTCTTGTCGTACACCCACTTGACATTATTACTGTAGTAGATTGCTGTAGTAGATCTACGTCAACTAGCTCTGGTAGTCATCCTCCCGCACGTTTCTGAAGTACATGTAGTTTTCTTGAACAGTACTTATATATTCCTTCACTACTCATTCACTTGTCATTGTTTTAATGTCGACCGCCAGGCAGCTGATTGTCTAAAGTTTTCTCTGATCGCTCCCTCCTCTGCGGGAGGAGGAGGAGGAGGAGGAGGAGAGAGAGAGAGAGAGAGAGAGAGAGAGAGAGAGAGACGTAAGTGTATGTGTGTACGTGTGTGCGCGCGTGCAGTGTCTGTGCCTGTGCGCAAGTGTGTGTGTGTGTGTGCAAGTGTGTGTGTTGATGAGTTAGCACCAGTACTGGTACTTATTGTATTCCGCTCATACAGTGATATGGTCAAGAGGTCATACCCCCCCCCCCCAGGTTATGTACTCTTGATATGATGCATGTAGTCTGCCATCATACATTGTAGTCTACTACATGTAGTACGTTCCTGGCTTGGTTTCATACAATCAACTGCCTGAGCCTGGCCTCGTTTTCTTTTATGGTAATACTAATACTAGCCATGATATGTATAGAATCAGACATGGATGTCAGGGCAGTATCGTTGATTCAGGCCCGAGAGCGGCCCAAGGCCGAATCATATCATGGCTAGTAATTAGTATTAGTATGTCGTGCGTGGGTGGCAGTGTGAATGCGAGCGTTCTGTGGAGTTTTGAACTACAGCGTAGATAGTACCAGTTTTATTACTCCTTGCAAGTCTCTCTCTCCCTCTCACACACACACATAATCATTGACACATACACGCACTCATACTGCTCAGTGCAGTGACTGTCTGCAGTGCAGATCAGGGAGTCGTAAAATACCGGTATTTTACGACTCCCTGGTGCAGATCTACAGTCCGTGTCCGTGATCGTCGTCATGCATGTCAGCTGATCATGGATGTGGTGCGCATGCTCTTGAAAAACCCCGCGAAACTGAATCGCGGCACGTGGTCGTGAATTGGGATATGGATCAGGTGCACTGCTGTGAGTAGTTTGAAGGTCTTGTTGAGTTTGAACGGGATCCTGGACCTGCAATGAGTTTGAAGGGTTTGTGAGAGTGTCCGGGACTCATTGCTGTTTTTTTAGTGGAGTTCTAGTAATTCTCCTCTTCTGCTTTGGGGAGCATCCACGGCAAGATGTCGGTAAGTTGTGGTAGATTATGAATATTTATTCACGGTGCGAGTTCCGCGCCCAAAGCATTCGAAAGTCTCACGAAACTATTCTTAATTCTAGTCAATTCTGAAAGTCGCCATTCCCGCGTAAATAATGCTAGCAAGTTATGACCTTCCTATTGGTGTCAGGACCAGGTTGGTGACGCACATAGCCGTGCGTTCCCACCTCCAGGAGGTGTAAGACTTCTGATAGAGTAATAGGCTGCATCCCTCATGATAGAACCCACCCACTTCGAATATTTGAAATGAATTATGAGGTCTATTGACTTTGGTGTGCATGGACATGGGCTCTGTGTGTGTGTGTGTGCGTGCGCGCGCGCGCGTGTGTGTGTGTGTGTGTGTAATTACATACCACTAGTGCGGTAGTGTATGTACACTAATACAGGTTGGAGAAGACGAACAGCATGGTGCCTATGGCATAGAGGATGGCCACGTAGCGGTCTAACCCGCATACACACACGCACACACAAGCACAGGCACAGGCATAAGCACACACGCGTAACAGGGTATGCGCTGTAATCAGACATGGTCTAAGCAATACAACCAGCGTACAGGTCACGCGAGCATTGAAGCCTCTTTCTGGCCCCACAGATATTCTTCATCTCTCGCCCACGAAAAATTACGTGAATTTCGACCTTTGTTGCTAACTCTGAAGTTCTGCAATTTCGTTGCAAATTTTGTGGGAAAAGCAGAACTATTTTACTTGCAAAATTAACGATCGTCTGGTTGTGCAAAATAGGCTATAGTGCACGGAGCACTTTTCACGTTTGTTAGCATGGGCGTACTAAACTTTTTACCAATTTTAGTTTCCCTGGTAGCTACGAGACAATCACTTGAATCACTTGTTTCGATGTTTGGGCCAAGTGTGGGGTCTGCTGTGACTCGCGAGGGAAACATGGCTTGTGCTTCAACTCCTTTCCCCGCATTGTTACCCTGAATATCCTCGTTAATTGGCTGCTAAATTTGGGTAGCTTTATTATCTTTTTCCGTGATAGGTTTGTTGTTGATCATGTATTGCCACAATATCGTGTTAGGATGCCAAAGTTACACACGCACGGTCATCAGAAGGTTGAATGACCTGGCAGACTCGGTTTCTCCAGTAACATTTGGTCACATTGCGGCCATCAGGTTCTCATGTTTTGCTTGTGTGGTTGGACTGTGTGTGTGTGTGTGTGGACACTACGCAGGAGCCATCTGGAATCCCCAGCAGCCCTGGACGGGCGGCGATGACCAGTAGTCCAGGCCGTATTCATGGCCTGGAGACTGACGTCAGCAGTCCCGGCCGCGACTTGCCGCCGTTCGCTGATGAAAGCGGAATACTGGGAACTGAGCCCGATGTTGTCGATGAGGCCATCGACGAGGAGGAGGAGGAGGGCGAAGACCTGTTCGGTGACAATATGGAGCGGTGAGTTGGCATTCTTGCCTTCCCTCCTGCACCATCCCTAATCTACGTGCACACCTTTCTGTATATCTGTCCATCAGATTATTCATCCACCTATCCCTACCTATCTCCTAGTACTGAGTATCCAGTTTATCTATTCTTCCAACAAATCCACACTACCTTGCCATGTACCCATTATTGTGTGCGCGCGTGTGTGTGTGTGCGCGCGCGCGCGTGCGCGTGTGTGTGTGTGTGTATGTGTGTGTGTGTGTGTGTGTTTGTGTGTGTGTGTGTGTCGATGCGGTGTGGATTGCGCACACATCGCACCATCATGCTTCGTTTCTCCTCTGCAAATGATGCTGATGCCTGAGCGTGAAACTCAAGATCTGTGCAAGCGAACAACAATTCAAGTGTACTTTTATGAGACCATTGGCAATAGTGCAATCTATGTACACATCTACGGTGCTGTATATGAAATCCAGTCGCGCCCCTCAAGTATGCGCCGAGACCTGGGAACACTGGGCTGCGAAAAGGTGCAAGGTGCAAACTTGAGTGACATGACTGGATTTCATTGACTGGATTTCATTGACTGGATTTCATTGAACACAGTACTGTACTTTACGTCTACATTGCACAGAGACTACCGTGCCATTCCTCGTCTCGACGTCTATGATCGTGATATCCTGGACGAGAGTGACTACGATGCCCTGTCGCCAGGCGCACGGGCACGTGTTGAAGCCGATCTGCGCAAGCGGGACCGCGCTGAGGCCATTGCCACTGGTCGTCTTCGCCGTGACCTTCTCTACGGTGAGTAGGACTAAACAATACAGTGATTGTAAATGCTCTATAGCCTTCGCTCAGCCACACAGGAACGTTCACCGATAGAAGAAGACTGTAGATAGAGTCATTCTTGTCATGACTTCTCAGATCTCTCCTTCCTTTGAGGTACTGTAAGACATGTTATTATAACGAGTCGCAAATTTAACGATTGTCCAAAATTCATAGGTTAACGAGAAGATATGTTAACGATCTTGCAGTATTCTGCCATATCCACACACAGCATATATGAAGCAGTACGGCCTCAACGGATCTTATTATAACGAAGAAATGTCATCCGTTAAAATGTTAGATTTGCTTCCTCGTTATATATACATGTCTTACAGTATCGGGACTTTTCCTGCACTAGGTGCTGCATCTGCCCTGTTTGGCCTGGATGTTCTTGTCATGCATCTATATTTTATTTTATTTTATGAACATTATCTTTGAATGGACATAGGAGTATTGGTGATGGGGATGCTTCATCAGTCCATAATGGTGTTGCTTGTTGTTGTCTGGTGCACTGCAGATGAGGAGGAAGAAGATGAGCACGAGCCGCCTGCACGTCGCCGGAAGCTGGCTGACCGTGCCGACCAGTACGGTATGGACGACGAGGAGGTAAGCCAGTGACGACACCCTGCTCTACAGACCCATGCTCGTCCGCAATGTGCATGCGGCGGTCGGGACTGGAGCGTGACGATCTGTTGGGATCGAATGAGAAAATTCATCCCCTACTGTTGTGCTTCTGCATCTGGTCCTGGAAGTTTCACTGCTCCCCGCCAGCTATGAAGGCTGTACAGCAGCTTCTGTTGTGTTGCTTGAACTAGCAATGCACAGTACATGTGAACATGAGATGTCCGTAGACCTGTATCATAAAGTGTGGAACGATCATGTTCGTGAATCCTGTTTCTCTGTGTAGATGCCAGAAGCGATAGAGAACTTGGAAGACACGAAGGGGCACTCTGTACGCGAGTGGGTGTCAATGACCGCACCGCGACAGGAGATCAAGAACCGCTTCAAGCAGTTCTTGAAGACTTACGTGGACGCTAATGGCATCAGTGTATACAAGGAGAAGATTAGAACCATGATTGAAGGTAGGGAACAATTGCATTGCCACGGCTTTACTTTTCAACGGAATAGGACATGGATGCAGTGAATGGGATCTTGGTCTTTGACCACTGTGTGGTTGGTTGGTGTACTCACCTCCCAGCATTTTAGGATTTGTGCCTTCGTCCTTTAGGGTGTCGGCATTTCAGTGGATGCGGAAAAGTCAGTGTGGTCGAACTCCACGCAAACCATGAAGTATTTATAACGATGATGTCCAATACCATGATGATGATATCTGTTTCTCATCTGCAGTATGCCAGTAACGTTACTGCACCGTAGCATTGTCCTTTCCTCTGGCTCCTTGCAATGCGATTATCATTCCTTATGTGTTTGCCTTCTTTTCTTGCTCCCTTTCCTGCCGTCGACTCCAGCCAACAAGCAGAGTCTGGTGGTCAACTACAATGAACTCGCTTCTCAGTGGCAAGTCATTGCCTACTTTCTTCCAGAGGCACCTGCAGAGGTGTTGAAGATCTTTGACGAGGTAAAGGAATCACCGCTACTTGCTTGTTTCTGCGTGGTGTATGGTGCAGCCCTGACCAATGTTTTATGCACGTCCCACTGCTACTAACGGCTACGTATGAAGCACGGGTCAAATGCATAATGTGTGGTTTTAGTAGTGTTTAGAACTTTAGATTGATTAAACCACCGATCACCTTGAGATTGAAAATTTATTTAAAAAATCTATTTTTCCTTTCTTTCTTGTAGGCTGCAAAGGAGTTTGTGCTCTCTTTGTTCCCCAACTATACTCGCATTGCTGACTACATCTACGTGAGAATATCAGACCTGCCGCTCATGGAAGAGCTTCGTTCCCTAAGGTGAGTGTGCTAGCAGGTGCATCAGTCACACACACGCACGCGATCGCACTGCGTGCATGCTTTCCGGAATGCGACGCGCATAGTTTTTGTCTTGTGAGTTCGAATAGCGAAAATGACCGTGTACACGCCCATGCGATATCCAGGTTGTTGCAGTTCCAACGTATGTAGTGCGTCTGTGTATGATATTTCCGACTAGTAATTATGACTGATGCCTGTTTACTACAACGTCTTGTCACAATTTGTGGCCGAATAGACTACTGCAAACCCTCAATACTAGTATTCGCCTCACTAAATTTTCGCGATTTCTCAGTACTAGCGAGTTGATTATCAGCAATATTATGTCAAATGTTCACAGAGCACTTTGGCCACACGCACACCTGCCCACGGATAAGGTGTTTACGATTCTAGTTTGCAGGTTGTGCCTGGGCAGTGGGTATTATAGTGCATGCATTTCGTATTGTGTTTACTTGCAGGCAGCTTCATCTGAACCAACTCATCCGCACAATGGGTGTAGTCACCCATAGCACTGGTATCCTACCGCAACTCAACATGGTCAAGTTCAACTGTGTGAAATGTGGCTTTGTCCTGGGACCATTCCACCAAAGTCAGACTGACGAGATCAAGCCAGGATCTTGCCCTGAGTGCCAGTCCCATGGCCCATTCGACGTCAACATGGAGCAGGTACTGGCGATTTGCCGTGTCTTGGCGTCGCGATTTTTCTATCGTCTTGCAAAGGCGTGCTAGCTTGGTATTATGTCGATGTATTGATACTCAGCCACCCTTGCTCACTGAGACCTGTGCGTCATCCTATTGTAGGTTTTGTTGCAATTGCATATTCTTTATTTTTAAAAACGTGAGCATGAGTGTGTCACACTGCCGGGTATTTTTGCAGATAAGCTGCATTGCCTTCTTTTACCTTCAACACTAATGCCTGGTGAGATGCAGTGCAACTGACTGGATGTTATTTGATGTTGGCTGCTGTTGCTTGCAGACTGTTTATCAGAATTACCAGCGAGTAACCATCCAAGAAAGTCCCGGTAAGGTGGCTGCTGGTCGATTGCCCCGCTCCAAGGATGTGATCCTGTTGGCAGACTTGGTCGACTCGTGCAAGCCCGGGGACGAGATTGTGAGTCTTCTATTATGCACTGTGCCGCTCCTAGCTAGTAGTTACTGTCAGGTGATCTTGAAAGCAGGTCATTCCTCACACACTTCTTGTGCATGGCACTGTTTACCGTATGGGCGAGACAACTCCGTACACCTGGGCAGGTCGTAGACAACTTCCAGCGTATTGCTGGGCCACGGCATCAATGCATGCACACGTTGTAATATGCCCAGTCGCCGAGGTACTCAAGGCAAGTTGTGGGGTTGTGCGTGGGATATTGTCGTGCGATGAAAGGTTTATCAGTTTGTATTTGTATTTATTCAACATTTCCTGGCTCGTCAAACGACTGCTAATGACAAATGAATGTGAAATGAAGGGTGATAGCCAACCACGGCAAATAACCTAAACAGTAAAAAATAAAAAATAAATAAAAAAGGTTATTGAGTGAGACTTGTACCACCTGTTATGCCTGTACTTGCAGGAGTTAACAGGTATCTACCATAACAACTATGATGGTTCACTGAACACTGCCAACGGATTCCCCGTCTTTGCCACCGTCATCCTGGCCAACTACCTCACGCGGAAAGAGGATCGTCTTGCCGTTCAGAGCTTGACCGATGCCGACATCAAGCAGATTGTGGAGCTCAGCAAGGACGAGAAGATAGGAGACAGGGTGAGCTTCAACGCGTGCAAATCATGTTTGGCTGCGGGTCTTGATAGAGCCTTGTTGTCATCAGTGATGACTTGACGTACTGCAAGTTTATACATTGGTGTTGTCTTCTGGGTTGTTATTAGCCAGGGCCTAGGGCCTTGTCATCAGTGATGTATTTGATGTACTGCAAGTTTACACATTGGTTTGTCAACTTTTGTGTTCTGGGTTGTTATGGGCAGATTGTCGCCAGTATCGCACCGTCCATTTACGGGCACACAGACATCAGGCGAGCCATTGCCCTGGCTCTCTTTGGCGGTCAGGCAAAGGATCCCGGTAGGTCACACAGGGTACACGATTATTTATTTCACTTTTCTTTTCTTTCTTTTTTACAAATCTACTGCTGATGCTCCCAGCAGGCGTGGGTGTGGACAAGAGTATGCATTGGGTGTGAGTATGTGTGAAAGTGGGGGGGGGGGGGGGGGGGGGGGGTGCACACCTCTTTGTTAGTAAGTGTTTCCTCCTATGGCCTTGTGGATAGTTGGTCTGAGTGCTGCTTGTCATCCTTGCAAATTACAGTGGTGGCTGCTCCCACTCTCTGCGTGCTCACCTTCACAGCAGTGTATCACGTTTGTGTGTTGTGGCTGTGCTTGTGTGTTCTTGCATGCCAGGTGGCAAGCACAAGTTGCGCGGTGATATCAATGTACTGGTCTGCGGGGATCCCGGCACGGCCAAGTCGCAGTTTCTCAAGTACGTCGAGAAGACAGCCTCACGCCCAGTCTTCACCACCGGTCAGGGCGCGTCTGCGGTCGGCTTGACGGCCTACGTGCAGCGCCATCCGGTCACCAGGGAGTGGACGCTGGAGGCTGGCGCTCTCGTCCTGGCAGACCGTGGAGTGTGCTTGATTGATGAGTTTGACAAGGTGAGGCTCAGATCGGCACGCTTAATTCCGCTTTGTTATCCAGTTTTGCTGCAGGGTATCAGTAGTGACTCATCACCTACTTTAGAATGGCTAATTTTAGCGAGTAGCTTTTTTTTGCGTTTTCTGAATCACGACCAATATTAGCGATGAAATATTTTAGCGATCCGAGTTTCAGAGTAAAAAAATGGACCAATTCTAGTATCACAGATACCAACACAGGCAGAGGCCGCTACCAGCACTAGTGATCAGTAAATGCACTGTCCGAAATGAGATACAAGGCCACTGGATGCCCAGCAGAAGAGATGAAACTACAGCAGCACCACTGTACATGCATCACAGTGTAGCTGCCTCGTTGATGCCAGTGTTCTCAAATCCAGTAACAATTGTATCTGTCTTCTCTACCATCCTGGATGTGGGTAAGCCAGCGGGCATATAGCTCTTTCACGATGGATGTTCGCAAGTCCACATTGACGGAGTTGTCCTCATCCAGGGCCTCCTTGACTTTACTCGCATACCACTCTGTGAAGCTGTCCTTCAACGCTGCCTTGTAGGGCTCATTGAATGACTTGTCATGGGGCTGCAATTCACCCGTGCAGCCAGGAGGGACCTATCGGTAGCGGATGTTGGCATCTACCAGACGCTTTTGCACACTCTACACTTGATGCGCAGCCAACGTGTCAAATATCGCCAGTGCAGCCTGGTCCAAAGGGAGCTGGAGCTGTTCCCGAGTGCGGACGACGTACGGAATGAGGGCATGCTCCACATAGAGGAGCTTTGTGGCTTCATTGCTGCAGTGATTCTCACTATGAAATACATCCCAGTCGTCCGGAAATGCCTGACGAGGATGACAGCGCACAGTCTTCCCGGCGTACAGGATGTGGGGCGGGAGCAGGTGTCCTGACATGGCGATCGTGAGAAGGATGGTTATCTCACGCTTGTAATCCAGGCCTCTGACTTCCACCTGCTTACTGCCTTCTGTAGCCATCGCATATGTACTGGCAGGTACCAGGCGGACACCAGTCTGGTCCCAATTTAGGACAAGCTCTGCAGGAATTTGTCTTTCTGCACAACCTTGTGGATGCCGTTTGTTTTGGGTGTATCGCACAGCAACCATCCAGGTCCGACAACAACAGAACTACGCACACCGAAAAGGCTTCTACTTCATTTCGTGCAAACAAACTCTTAACTCCCGAAAACCAGAACAAGCCTGATCAGTTCCTCGCATGCGTACCTGAGGGGCCCGCATGCTCGGAGTGTAAAGACCACATGGCGGGCGTGAACACGTGTCGCAACAGCACGTGCATGCATACAAGTAAAGTGCGTAAAAGAGTTCATACTACACCGTTCAAGTAGGTGAGTTTCAACTCTGGGAAATTGTCCGGGATCTTCTGCGCAGCTTTGGTCGCTTTGCGCTTAACAAGGCCCATGCGGTTCATGAAACCCTGCGCCCAGTCTCGAGTCAGCTTGACTGTACCCCCAAACGTTTTGAGTAGCGATTTGTTCCTAAACTCAATGATGCCGAGAGCAGCACTGATCACAATTGTACGATTTACAATGGCACACCGTTCTGGCGAAGTTTGAGAGAATGTGCTCATGCACAGCAACTTTGATATCCTCCGGTAAGTTCCCAGGGCGTCCAGCTTCGTGATGTGGGAGAACAGTTACATCTCCAAGGCGCTTGACCTCGCTGTAGTAGCGTCGTATGAAGTTGTGAACCGAGCTCTCGTTCAACTCTCTCCCAAGCCCTTTCGAAAACTTCTCCACCACTTTTTTGTTGCCGTTTTCTGGTGCGTACCGTCCAATTCTTTCTTTTTGTTCGTCATCATAATGACCATAGGATGTTCGTTTGGTCCCCCTCACTTCAACCTCAAACGCCGAGGTTACTTTCTTGTTGGCTGCTGCAATTTCCTGTTGCGTTGTACCGCTCTGCTTAGCAGGATCAGGAAGCAGCGGGCTTACAAGTTCTTGAACTTCAGACGCATCACTTCCAAATGCAGAAGGTGCCGTTTTCAGCCAACTCAAGAGAGACGTCGTGAACTAGTACCGTACCACAAAACAAATTTCGGGTCGTGGCGAAGCAAAAAACTGTCTTCCGCAAAAAAGCTGTCTTCCGCAGTTAAACCATGAACAAGAATAGTTTTACTGTTTGCCTGGGCCAATGGAAACTGCTCTTACACGTCGACTGCGCTAGTACCAGTGCACGTGTAGTATCATGCGCGCACCATACCATGTATGCATGCATGCATCAGTGCACATGTGCTACTACATATTCTACCAGCAGTACTGCACTGTACTAGCATGTAGTAAGTGCACAAATTTGATTGGCGTGGCAAGACTTTAGCGAAAACACTCCTTTCGCTCAAGTCACTAGAATATCACCGGCGCTAAACTTAGCCGTTCTACAGTAGTTGTACAGTAGTTTGCAAGTGTAGTGGTGTAGTTCAGACTGAAAAGGCCTGGGCACCAGTCGCTTCCCTGGAATAGCAGCTCCCCCCCCCAAGTGATGAATACCTGTTCATGCTAGTTGGACTTCATGTTGTTGTCACTCACTTTCCACAGATGTGCGTTTGGCTCCAGATGTGTTGTTGTTTGTCCTTGTTGTGTATGCACTATAATCAACGGTCCCGTATGAACCTTGCTATCATGTCTTGCCGCAGATGAACGACGCAGACCGTACCAGTATTCACGAAGCCATGGAGCAGCAGAGCATCTCCATCTCCAAGGCTGGAATTGTTACGTCACTTCAGGTGGGTAGTTCCCTTGCAACGCCATTCACTGGCTGCAGTCCGTCTTAGAGTTGCCTCAACTTTTGCCTGGGTTCCAGCATGCAAAGATAAAGACTTGAGCAGCACAATCACCAAGTGTGGTTCTATCATCGCTACAGGCAGAGCAGCTTCTCTCCACGTCCCATTGCCAATGTTGTCACAGTTTCGATCCTAGCTGTGTGCTCGTGTTTGTGTTGTTCTTCTCTCCTCCTTGCTCATGTTGTTTGGCTTTCTGCTCTTTCTCTCTGGCTGTGCAGGCACGCTGCAGTATCATTGCCGCCGCCAATCCCATCGGTGGCCGCTACGACCCTTCCATGACATTCGCCAACAATGTATGTCACAGCTCAGCCTCTGTGGCCGCATTGCTGACTAATTAGAACTACTGTGCATGATGTTTTATTACTCGTGCTGTTCCGGCTATCCTTGCTATTCGCTACTCACTGATTTGTACACTGTCTTCAGTATCTTGTCTCATTGATGCGCGTTGCACTGTGTTCTTTTGGCACGTGTACAGGTGGATCTTACTGAGCCCATCCTTTCTCGTTTTGACATCCTTTGCGTCGTTCGTGATATGGTCGACCCGGTCGAGGTAAGAAGCTATGTGTGTCTGGTACCGCTGTGCTGAAATCCACGCACAGGCATGGACAGGGCCTGAGTAAATGTGCGTCAACAACCCTGATCTCTTATAGGCATGTTGCACTTGAAGTTCAGTTATACAAGAAGTTATGTACATATATATCAAACACGGTGGCAAGGTGCGAGCCATGCCGAGCGAAAATGCGATTTTTGTTTTCCGAGAAATCAAAGGTCACAATTACTGTCAGGATTCGCTAGCGCACGGGCGATGAACTTCAAAGAAGTAACGACGCCGAGATTGTCATGCTGTACGAGGATCATTTGTCGCCAGTAGCGGCGAGGGAGTCCACAAAGAGCCGGTGGTGCTACTTCACTGAGGAGTGGTGATGAAAACATGTGACTTGTTGGATCAGCCTTGGAGTTTGGATCTGTGATTTAGCAGACTAAGAAATAGACTTGTACTGGCAGAGACGAGGTGTGTTCAGCTAGGATGGTGAGGCTATGAACAGTGACGATGATGACTTGGCATGGACAGAAGATGCGAGCCTTACATTTACACTGTAGACGACTAGGTCCATTGAACGTCGATACTATTTCAACTACATGTATTGCCAGTCCTTGATCAGCCTGATGAAAAGGAGTACAACATGGAAGTGGTTGCCGTGTGCACTCACTGTTAGATCTTGATTTCCTGTCCATGATCGCTTGTGGCATTGGTGATGGTGGGAAGTCCTATTGCTTACTCTAACCCTGTGTCTGATGTGTTGTTGTTCTTGTTGTTGTTGTTGTTGTTCTTGTTGTTGCTGCTGTTCTTGTTCTTGTTCTTGTTCTTGTTGCTGTTGCCTCCAGGACGAGCGTCTTGCTCGCTTTGTTGTGGGCAGCCACACGCGCCATCACCCCAACGCAGGAGCTGCCAATGGAGCAGATGCCGTTGTATGTTACTGTTGCTTATGGTTTTAAACTTTTAATACAGTAACTAACGGTGGCTTTGTCAACAACTATAACAACAGCATCGGGTGTTGCAAGTACATGTGTGATCATGGCTTCGCTGCTGGAGAAAAAGGTGCACATTAGACCTTGCACAGTATGTAGCAATGAGGTGACTGCGAAAATTAATGGTAAAACAGAGGTACTGTTGTCAAATAGACTTGTTTGAATGGGAATATCATTTGCCTGCAGCTGAACTAACAATCGTAAAAAGCAGAGCTCACCCTGAAGTGTTTTCTATACTGATTTTCAGGGCAATTTTCGATCATCAGGACTCAGTCTTTGATGTCTTTTGTTGGCTGTTTTTCTGTTTTGCACAAAATTGTCTCATGCCTGAAACTACGTCAACTCAACTACAGTCGATGCGCCAAGTCGCTGATGAGGCCGATTTTATTTGCAACCGCGGGGGAAAAAAATGAGGCGAAAACGCCGCCGAGGCAATTGTTTTTCTTGGTACAGTAAAACCTGGTTTAAGCAACCACCCCATGGTGCAAGCAAAAGCGGTCATTAAAGCCAGGTGGTCTTTAGAACCAGGTCCCAGAGTGTCTGTGTAGAACTGTCCGTGCATGGAAAAGCGCTCGTTAAGAGCAGGTGGTCGCTAAACCCAGAGGTCGCTTACCCCAGGTTTTACTGTATTTTGTGAACCATCATGGACCATATCAGCTTTTCGTGGATAAAGTAGCTGTTGTAAACTAGTTTACTGGCACGTGCCCACTCTCTTCTTAGTATTATGCCTTCCCCTGAGACTAGCTGTGTTGATTTGGGATCCATCAGGAGAGGTTTCCTCGACGGCGTCCTTTTTCGTATCTTGTGCACGCTCAACTTCTCGGGCGTGCAGAGGTGGACATCGGTCACGGACACCAGTTTCTACGATCGTAAGCTGTTGGTTATTCTCTTGGGTTCTACCAGTGTGAAATTGGATGTGATCGGACTATGCAACAACGTTGCAAGGTGCGGCCCGAAATTCCATTGAGCAGTACAACAATCTGAAAAAAGTAACATTATAGGTGCTTGCATCGAGGTGAATGTTTAGAGCTTTGTTTTCTCGTTTTCCTCCTTGTGCGTATGTATGAACCCTAGGGCTATCGTGTCACGGCAAATTTGGGACTAAGCCTAACTATTAGTATCAAAAATGGAGCTACTTGGTATATTTTGTCAACCAGCATGTCGATATATTGATCTCTGCATTACATACATGAACACACCAACCAAAAAAAGTCTCATGAAAAGTTGGTTAAAGCTGGTTATAAAATATTAGCAAGAGTACATAAACCAGAGTGTGCAACTCGGGATGGTTCCTGTCGGAGCGTAATTCGTGCAGTACGTCATTTCTGACGGCATGGTAAGCCACAGGTACGGTGAAAAGTTGCGTAACCAGTCACAGTGGTGCAGGTCACTGAGTTTGTCCTGATTTCGGTTTTTTGATACGGATAGCCTGGTGAATTTACTTGTCAGCGGATGGTCGCAGCATACGCAGTCACACAAAAACACCGAAATCCTAAAACAGGACGCCTATAATCATGCAAACTTGGGTGATTTCCGGTCTGTGAAACACGAAAATTTGAGCTGTACGCACGTCGCGGCTTGGCTGGCCTCACCAGGGTGACGTAGTGCACGAACTGCGCTGTTTCAGATCTGATATGCACAGTTGCACACTCTGTCTCTGGTTTATGTACTCTTGGTATTAGTGACACTTACAGTCATTCCATAGTTGCACAGAACCGTGACGTGACGATCATGGCTCCATATGTTCTTCTTCAACGTCTGCAGGAGTGGTGGTGTCGACGAGCGCGGGTGGGGGTGTGTGCTCATCCAGTGGTTCGCCATGCTGCACGGTACCATCATTGGCGTCTTCATCAGCATCACTGCCACTCTCCTCAGACTCGGGGTTGGAGTGGTGAATATTGCCATCCTCACTGACGACATTGCTGACAACATTCTTGCAGCCAATACCTTTGCAACCAGGATCACAGCGACCAGACCTTAGCACTTGCAGCACCTGGTGACACAGCCAGACTTACAGCTGCACCCACGAGTCAGCAGCATCACTCGTGACCTAACTGCAGCCATGTGCTCTTCTGTGTCCCAGACGACACTGATAGCGTTGCCGTCTGTCCTCCAACCATACTTATTGGGATCCAGGACATTGACTTGCTCCTGGTTGGCCTGCGCCCACATGTTCGCCACCCAGCACACTCTCTGCCAGTGCAGATGCAGGGCGCTCCAAGATGGAGGGCAGTCCTCTTCTGGCTCCACTCTGCTCCATACCACCTTTCGTATGTCGCTGAGCCATGTAATGTGGCGTTCTTCGGTGGTTGCTCCTTGTTGCCGACTCAGCAGTGACCGAGGGCCGTTGTCCTCAAATCCTGCTGTGTGTTTCTGGTGATATGCACGACCAATCAGGCGGACGAACGCTAGGGAGCCATGCTCATTCTCCGTGTCGCACAGCATTCCTGGCACCCCGTCATCACTACTTCCTCCTGTGATGAATGCTGCGTTCTTCACCAGGGTGTTCATGAAGAACATCTTGCCGATGCAGCGGAAGAAGGATACATAGTCACACCCTGTGGCTATGAACGCAACCTGCAGAGTGCGGCATTTCTTGTTAGCTGGCACACGCTGCAGGTCAGGATCAGCCATGAAGCTACTCTGAAGGGTGTTCAGAGAGATGTAGCTTCGCTCCCGGCTACCTGGCATGTCCAGCTGCACGAAAACTGACTGGCCGCACCCAAGTGGCAGACCGATGTGGAACGTGTCGGTGTCCGGGCTGTACACCATTGCGTGCTGATGTCGCAGTGCATGCCTCCAAACCCTGGAGTCACCTTCATCGGCATTGCTGCCATAAGGAAACTCAAACAGCTCTGCCCTGCCAGCAATTGATGTTGCTGTGCAGCCTGTGCCTTCAAACCCTTTATGCATTTCTTGCATATACATGCATATGGTTTAATAGCTGGATGCTTGGTGTTATATCAGTTTTCAATAGAGGCTGGGTGGGTATATCTGGCATCGCGTGGTGTCTCCTGGCACACAGAGCAGGGTCCACACTCTCTACCAGGGTGCAATTGCGTACCCAAATTTTGCCGGCCCATATTTTGGCATGGGGTGGCCTGACGCCTGCCAGCGTTTCAGACGCTGTGAGTACCTCCTTTGGGACTCTATATGTGTGGACGCTTTCTCTCTCCGCTCTTGCAACAAGCAGCGGCCCGAAATAATCTGTGACGTACCTACGAAGTTCATATTTGAAAGGAAAAAAAAACAGAACAAAAATGTCGAAGGAAAGTGATCTGATGTTTGGAGACCTATTCAAAAATCTGCTTGATTACCTCTCCACTCACCCTCGAAGCACTGGAAATGCGCAAAAGCAATCGATGTCTCAGTGTTTGTCCACAATGTCTCAACAACCAGTTGTCTAAATCCTTGAGCAAAATTGAGAACACCACCAAAATGCCCTTCAAATTTCCCGCGGTTGCAAATAAAAAGAGGACCCTTTTTGCAGCTTTTACAAACTTGGCGCATCGACTGACTACTGAAACTCGTATATTGCTGCTGGCAGTATGTGTGTGTGTGTGTGTGGGTGTGTGTGTGTGTGTGTGTGTGTGTGTGTGTGTGTGTGTTTTCTCTATGTTCTTGTCTTCTATGGATGTAACGAATTTTCAACTTTGCGCTGTTGGTTGCAGGTGGAGGAGGAGCCACGTGAAGTGGACTTGGTTCCCCAGGACATTCTTCGCAAGTACATCATGTATGCACGGGAGAAGGTGAGTGAAGAACGAGAGTGAAGATGGCCGGGGGGGGGGAGCAAGCTGCTGACTCTGCCAGCTCCCAACACTGTTCTACAGTGCTACTCCATGACATCCAGACGTTATGAGCGAGCTAGTGCGGGGGACTGTGCAGCCACAGACCTGCTCACACTGGACATGGGGTGCAGGGCTGTAACGTAATGAGTTTGGACTTCATTTTGCATGGCTATAGCTTTGTTGTACTGTAGCTACTTTCAAAAAGTAAGTTGCGGTTTGAAGGTTACTCCTGTAGGCACAGCTGTTCAGGACTTCAGAGAGTACACAGCCAATGGTTTGCTAAGTCCTCACGCTTCACTCGTTCTGTTCCCCAACCTTTGCCACGGATAATCGTCTTAATGCGATGCAGGATATGGCTATCCTGGGAGAAACACCTCACCACAAGAGATGCGCAACAAATCACAAGAAGTGGACCGAAATAGTGCATCCGCCAACACTGGCTGTAGTGACTACTGCTGTGTGTCACATATGGCTGCACTATCCTGCTAGCACACTAAACCCACATGCCTCACACTGCCCCATAGTTGTAATAATACGTATGGTACAGTTCGTGTACATGCATAGTTCATTGCATTCAGTCTTACAAGTACACCACCGTCAAATCAGTGTCTCTGTCAAGTTAATCATGGCTTTGGGTTTTTTTACCGCACCCATTCTTGGTGCTCTTCAGATAGATAGAAAGTGGGGTGGGTTATTCTTCAATTGGTTGGACAGTCGGGCGGGGTATTTCTTACGTGCTGAAGTGCCGACGATTGTGCTCTGGGGTAGTGGATGGCCAGCGGTCTGTTCTTGTTTCGATCTTTCCGCTGCTTTGGTGGTTCTGGAGCATTCCCTCGCCGTTAATACTACTTGTTGGTGGTCGTATCTATGTTTCGTCCCAGATTTATCCACAACTGCAACAGATGGACCAGGATAAGGTGGCCAATCTCTACTCGGAGTTGAGAAAAGAATCACTGGTGAGGCTTCTCCAGCTGGTATTGGGTTGACTACTCCAGGCTTTGCTGGGTGTCAATTACAAGTATGATGTGGACTCATTAGTATTGTGATTGTATGGAGTGAATCAGCCATGAGCACTTCACGCCCCTGGCAACCGGTGCTGTTCTGATGATGCGCATGAAGAGACCTCCTCATGGCAGCTGAGAGAGAGAGAGAGAGAGAGAGAGAGAGAGAGAGAGAGAGAGAGAAAGGAGAGAGAGAGAAAGGAGAGTGATGGCAAGGTGTTGATAGGTAGAATAGTCCATTGCCGGCGAATAGCTCGTTACTGGCCTATGGTTTATCTTACATGTGCGGGAAAGGTGCCCCATGCAACCCTGTTTCATTCCCCACTCCTCTTCTCTGTCATGTTCGCTCTTGCAGGCCACTGGCAGTATTCCAATCACAGTTCGACACATCGAGTCGATTATCCGTATTGCTGAGGCACACGCAAGGATGCATCTCAGACAGTATGTGCGCAACGACGATGTGAACATGGCCATTCGAGTTATGCTGGAGAGCTTCATTGACACTCAGAAGTTCGCTGTCATGCGCAACATGAGAAAGGTCAGTGTTGTCGGCGTTGCAGCTATCGTCTTTAGGATAGGAAAATCATGTTCCACTATAAACACGAAGCTGCAGAACGGAAAGGCGATGCTTTATTTATGATGAAGCCGTATTGGTGAGCCGTAGCCGTATGGTGTTAGCACTTCTCTTTATCGTTCTGAGCGTGTTGTTGTTGTAGAGCCAGAGACAGCAGGGCAGTGAACAGTAGCCCTGTCCTGGTGATTCAGTGATGAGTTGTAGTCGGTCAATGACATGCTAACTCTATTCATTTTCGTGCTTTCTTGGTGGTGACGTGTATCTTATCCAGGCCTTCCAGCGCTTCTTGTCCTACCAGCGTGACAACGATGAGCTTCTGTCGTTCATTCTCCGTCAGTTGATTCGCGATCAGATTGCGTATCAGCGCAACATTCATGGTGGCGATGTGGAGATCGTCCAGGTGTCCGAGGAAGACTTTGTCGAGCATGTAAGTGTTGCACTCTATTGCCTTGGCATTGATTTGTGTGTGTGTGGGTGGGTGGGTGTGTGGGTGCGTATGTGTGCATGTGGTTTGCTTGCCCCGTGGATAGTAATGTATTGTGCCGCTTGTATGTGCGTGTTTTGTTTCAGGCGCGTCAGCTCAATATCTCCAACGTCTCGAGCTTCTACAAGACCGACGTCTTCCGCAGAGTCAACCGCTGCACATACGATGGCTCGCGCAAGCTCATTGTCCACACACTGTTTGCTTGAGCAGGTCGTCCTGTGAGGCGTGACATTCTGCTCTGACACTCTCAAAAATGTGCCCGATGCGAAAGGAGGCTGACTGAACATTTGATTTCAATGCTGGACCAGTTATGCTCTGGCACGTACAGGACTTGTGTGAAAGTGTGACCCACGGTGCAAGTACAGTACTGTACAGTACTGGTGTCTACTTGTTTTAGGGATTTTTACGGGATTGTTTTTCTTTGCTGATTTTCATAGTGCTAATGTTTCTTATGCTGCTGAGCGATGGTTCTGTCTCTTCTTTTACATGAGCTTTTATACCCTTTTTAGTGACTTCCTAGTTGCTTGATATCTTTGACTCGCGCTACTGTACAGTATTGGATGTTTTTTTTTTACTGCCGTTTTAATCTTTCTCTCCAGTGGCTTCTTCCCACTCTTGTACATAGACGTATTCTGATGTTATTCTTGATTTTTGGCCCGATGGGCTGCTCTGCATGGATGCAGGATGGGCTCATGTGCATACATGTATGTAGTGAGAATCAACTGCACTATAGTGTGCTTGTTAGTACATATACCCGCGTGTAGCATGGGCATTGGCATGCGTCTCTGGCCTGGGTGATCGTGAAGATTTGTATCTGCAAAGAGAGCGCTACCGTAGCATAGTGCAGGTGTTCAAATGCGTGCTGTGCAAAGTACATAACCCGCAAGAGTGTGCAGCTGCTATGCTCTACTCAGGGAGTTGTATACACTTCCCTGGCTCTATCCACAGCTGCGATGGCAACGTTTACATCATAATAATAGTTAATACGGTGCGCCTCCAAGTCCAAGTACCAACGTGCACAGTGACCACTGACCAGAGTAGCCTATCAAGGACTTGGAGGGTAGACATACACCATACACCAAGAGTACACTGGTTTGTTGCACGAATGACGGAGGGCACAATACGTGTGATTATACTATACCGGTTCAATTACCGTATTCATGCACATGTAAGCCCATGGGCCCATGCGCTATATGTGAGGGGTGTGCTTATATCCGGATCTTTTTGGAGCATTTCTTTGATGCTGTCCTTGCGATAACACCTTTCAATACTTCGTAATGCCAGAATGAGTTTTGTCATTACCGGTACGGTGATACCGGAAAATTCCGAAATGTTAATTCTGTTCAGTTACAAGCCCATGTGCTTACTAGTATATCCGGATACAGGCCTGTGCGCATATATGTGCATGAATACGGTATGCAATAAGTCATTCGTATCGACTTGATGTCTGTAACTGAGCTGCGGCATGCGGGCCTTTTGAAGTCTGTGTTCCCCGTACGCTAGGTTCCTGAACTACTCCAATGCTGTTCGCATCAACAAGCAGTTGACAACATGTATTGTACTATCAAGAGTACATAATGCACAACACTGCACGTCAGGAAGACGTCAAGTACTAGTAAGTAGTAGTATTTGACAACTCCCTGCCACACATGCATAGTCATTATTTTCACATGGTACCAAGTCCATAATAGACTCGTCATGGTACAGTTATCGGAAACATGAGCACTGCCGTTAATTTACAATGTACTAACGTTCAGCATGGGTACGAGTAACACAGATATACACATGTACGTAATCAAGATAATAAAAAACAGGCGATAGCAATGAAAGGCGACATGGAGGAGTATCTACAACAGCTTTGTACATCAGAAGTGGAGGAAATATATGCAAGGAGAATGAAAATGCTAGCCTGAGCAAAGAGTTGAAAGACAAATTGTGCAGCAGCATGCCCAGGTAGCCGAGAATGCATTCAGCTCCGGGAATCCGCTGGACACAGCAGCAGCGCATGAAAACACGAACAAATACAATCTGCAAGCATGCTGGGTACAACCAGTGAAAACCCAACACAGCGACAACATGGCGTGTACGGCAGCGCTTGCCACAGTGCGGCAGGCGGCCCACACGATAAAAAAAAGAAATCAGATACGAGAATCGAGCAATTGGAAAACAATGTGCAGCATTTAATACGAAGAAGAAGCAGGCCGCAGAAGCTCACACAAGTGAGCCAATCGTTGACACAATTTCTTCAATTTCATCCTTTGTGTACAAGTGATAGAGTTTGTCAGGTGTGACGCAAGCAACCTGAAAAAAGCAAACGTTCACAAGGAAACAAACCACCATGTGTCAGCAGGCAGAAACACAATGTATCTGTACAACGAAGCACAGCAATCAACCCTCCCAGCACACGAGTACAGTACACATAGTAAATTAATGTGAAAAGGCAAAGAGTGTTCCATAGTCACAAGGCGTTCTTAGAGCAAAGCCATACCACAGCGCACATTAGCCTGACCCAGAGTAGTGGTGGAAAACCACAGCTCTTGGGCAGTGTTACACTGGGTACACCTCTAACAACAAACTAAGCAACTGTGAAGTAGGCTACTGTCACACACCCATGACTCATGCACTCCCAATGTGCAGCTAAAAGGCTGTTGGACTGCGCCGTACAGACAATCGCCCACCACAACAAGCGGGGAAAGAAAATGTGATGCCAAGATCACAAATTCTCACGCCTGCAAGCCATAGTAAACTGTTATCTGGCGAGTCCCAGGAGTGGATCTAAGGAAGTGTGTACGCTACATCCACGGCATCAGATTATACGGTTGACCTAGAAAGTGCGGATAGCATGCCCAAGGAATACATTCATGGTCATACCTCAACATTTGTAGAGCTCAGCTTCTCTTCCATAACCTGCTTCAAAATGGTGAGACACGCTGTGCACGCTTCCTTTATCGACATGTTCTGAAGGAAACCAAAACAACACATGCAAACAGCATGTGAACCAACGAAAAAGCGGCCAAAGTTGTGACAAGCATCATGGAAGTTGATGCAAAATAAAGCCTTCACCAAGCAACACAGGTACAGTATGCGACACAATCAGCTCATGTGACGTAACCTGGTCAAATGTAGCCACCAGGTGAACGGAAGTGCAGCCATTAGTGGACTTTCGCACTTGTTCGAGATCAGTTCCAGTGCTACACGCAGAAACTAGATAAGCATGCTTGGCCCATACAAGGGATAAGACAAGCAGCAAAAGCGCAAACAAGTGACGAGGTTTACCTTATGGAAAACTTCTTGCAGCGACGTTTGTGCACCCTCAGATCCAGAACCTGACGGACAACACACACAGAGAAAACAAAGGAGCAAAGCTGTAGCCACCAATAATGCAACATGATACGATCCTGACAGTATAGAACAAAAGCTGACAAATGAAACAGGAAAGACAAAAGATATGTTCTGCAGCAGCTTTGGTCAGCGAAGTGGCACAGTCTGCATTGCTGATACCAACTGCAAGCTCACAACAAGAAATGTCGGAAACTCACAGACTGGCATCACCACAGGACAGTTTCGCTGAACATGAAAAGCAATTGCAAAGTAGGCTACTGTAACACACCCATGACTCATGCACTCCCAATGTGCAGCTAAAAGGCTGTTGGACTGCGCCGTACAGACAATCGCCCACCACGACAAGTAGGGAAAGAAAATGTGATGCGAAGATCACAAATGCTCACACTTGCAAGTCGTAGCAAACTGTTATCTGGCCAGTCCTAGGAGTGGATCTAAGGAAGTGTGTACACCACGGCAGCACAACAAAATCGAACATAATTATTATGGAGAGTAATTTAGAACCCCAAGTTCAGAAGTCCAGACTAATAACAGAACACAATGCAAGCAAACATACCAATGGCCATAGCTTCATAGGCACGGAAAGTTCCGGATGGATCAACATGATAGCTGCAGAAGCCAGAGAAGCACAGAGAAGTCAACATGATTTAGTACAAACCATCGGCGAAACAGAACAAGAAAAAGGGGGATACAAACAGCAAAACCAGTGCTAGTATAATGTCCAGACAAAGAAGGAGCTGACTTCTGACAGGACTTTAAGTTATGTTCCACAGTCACCATTGTCAAAAGAGCATTGCAATGCAAAGAGCACATCTCTAATAACAAAGCAGGCAACCGTGAAGTAGGCTACTGTCACACACCCATGACTCATGCACTCCCAATGTGCAGCTAAAAGGCTGTTGGGCTGCACTGCGAGCGGCCGGAAAGGGCAGTATGGAGCAGCAAGAGAAGGCAGCCGACACCAAGGTCAAGCCATCTCCCACGCTGTCACTACCCAGTCCAACAGCTGCTACGGCAGCCCCAGGAGCGGATCTAAGGAAGTGTGTATCAGGGAGGCTTGCACATCGCCACAGATAAAACGGCCAGACAATTAAAGGGGAAGTTAAGGCAAAAATTAAAATTTCACCAGTTGTAGTCTTCGGGGTGCTGAGTCGAATGGTCTTGGTCCGAGAAAGCTGAGACGCTCCCTTCCTACTTGAATCCCAATCGAACTCGCGCACTTCCACCGAAACTGGGTGACTGCGCCCTACTAGATGGGGATTTGTATGCAAAATGTCACTAAAAGCGCCATTTCGTTCTTATAAAAGCACGGATGACCGCGATTGGCCCATATGTTGTAGTCTTTTGGACGCTGAGTCGACTGGTTTTGGTCCGAAAAGGCTGCGATGCAGCGTTCCTCCTTTATTCCCAATCGAACATGGTTGAACAAGCGGTCACGTGCTCCTGCGTACGCCAGTCACCTGGTCACCGTGCCTGCAGGGTACAACTTACTAGCCTGTTTGACCTTTTTTGGGTGCAGTCCTGTCACTCGAGTTGAACCTTGGTGTGAAAGTTGTCGCCTGCTGGCGTGGTGACCAGGTGATTTGGGCATCCAGGAGCACGTGACCGCTTGTTCAACCATGTTCGATTGGGAATAAAGAAGGAACGCTGCATCGCAGCCTTTTTGGACCAAAACCAGTCGACTCAGCGTCCAAAAGACTACAACATATGGGCCAATCGCGGTCATCCGTGCTTTTATAAGAACGAAATGGCGCTTTTCGTGACATTTTGCATACAAATCCCCATCTAGTAGGGCGCAGTCACCCAGTTTCGGTGGAAGTGCGCGAGTTCGATTGGGATTCAAGTAGGAAGGGAGCGTCTCAGCTTTCTCGGACCAAGACCATTCGACTCAGCACCCCGAAGACTACAACTGGTGAAATTTTAATTTTTGCCTTAACTTCCCCTTTAAGTTTGCAACCAATGCTGAGCTATCGGTACTCCAAATGTTGACAGCATATCAACGAAAAAGCATATGCAGTCAACTTCGCTAATGACTACCGAATAACGACAATTCGCGAATAACAACAGAATTTCCATGCCCAGAGCAATGTCCCATCTAACTGTAATACATATGAGACTTCGGGTATACGGACACTTTTCTGATGCCCCGCCGAGTGTCGTTATACGCAAAGTTGACTGTACACTGATACCATTAAAGAGCCAGATTGAAGAGCAGCACAACTTACAGCTGAGGTCCATTATGGTCGACACCACCGAACAGAAGAGCGACGCCAAATGGCCGTGCCTGTCAGTACAGAATCAAAGGTTACCACATAAACACGTAGCAGAAATAAGTCAAACAATGTTTGGTACCATTGCAATAATTTCTTCACCACTACGAAACAACTCACAGTGACTCAGCAGCTGCCAAATGCACAGAGCACAACAGAGCACAACCATCCAGAAAGCATGGGAAACCTACCATGGCATCCTCATCATCTTCATCTCCAAAGCTCATGGCCAGGTTGCCGACGGTACGAGATACACTCTCTACTGACATTGACTCATTGTATGTAAACCAGTGTTGCTGAAACAAACAAGAGAAAAAAAGACATCACATAATTAGTTTTAGTTGCATTGCGATGTGGAGAAAAGCAAGCATGTAAATAAGAAACCAACGGTGCCTTTTTCTATCCAGTTAAACTGGCCAAAATCTCCAAGATTCGGAAGTGTTCATCGTCTGCTACACTCCACTGGCTCTTCCAAGCTCGGCCCTGCAATACATTTAAGAGCGTGTATACCGGTAGTCACCATCTTCACATGTGCGAATGTATTAGCGTATCGTATAACTCCAATGTGCATGCGAAATCAGACGTAAAGAAACAACAATGAAAATTCAGTGTCACCATGATGGTCACCTTCATGCTCTGGAAGAGCAGTACTGCAATTTCAGAAATTTTCGGTGTACTTTTATTCTCGGTACTTGCGGTGCGTCTGTTTCATACCTAAAATTTCAATACACCGAACAAACAAGAACACACATAAACCAATAGGGAACTGCTTCTCTGTACCGAAAATTTCTGTTCACCTAACCTAGCTTGTTGCCCTCATACCGAAAATTTCTGAAATTAGAGTATTCAAAATAAAAGAACACTGCTCAAGAAAACAAGGAAAAGAAAAGGTGAAAGCGGTATGCACGAGAGGAATCTATAAATGCTGCAAGGGTGCAACGTGTGCTGAAACAAAATCCCTACCTGAGCCTCGAGACGTGCCCGGTCAATCATGGTACGTGCATCTGCAACGATACCACTGGACACACAGCCTAAGGCACACAACAAACACACACACACACAAACAAGACACGGTCAGGGCTGTTCGGAGCAGCTCGAAAGAGTGTTCAGTGCACCAGAGTGCGGAGCGGCGGTATACGCAATACAATACATGTACGAGTATGCAAACAAGACAATATCATGTTCACACTGCATGTACAGATGACGCAGAAGATCATTGTCTTCTCTACAGTCGACAAAATGAACAGCAATACGTATAGCTGCACAATTACGAGATCATACTCGCAGTTAGCAACCAAACAAAGCCAGGACTATTGTTGGAGGAGCACGGTACATGTACCGTAATGTCGCGTATAAAAGCAGGTGCTTACGGCCGTATAAGCCGGGGTTCAAATCATGCTTCTACGCCAACATCATCAGTCTACGCTGTGCAGCGCATACTGCCACGCATGTACTTGCACGTGTACTTTGCAGAGAGCGGCTTCTATTCAAATCATGCTTCTGTGTCACAGCGCGCTTCAAAAAATTCGGCTTCTATTCGAGTCATGCTTCTATACAAGTCATGCTTTTATACGCGACACTACAGAATTCACATAAGACATGTACCACAACATACCGATGTGCTTGTCGATTTCAACAATTTTCTCAATTCCGGATGCGACCATCAATGGAGAGGTGAGCCTTCGTTCGGATGCGAGGACGACACCTTCTGGTGTCTTGATCGCAATGGCAGTGCTGGCAAGCTACAAAAGGAAGTGAAAGGTGAATAAAGCAACAATCATCACTACCACACCGCAATACTGTATTATCATGTTATTTTAGGTGTATTTAAATTTCGGTACCAGGGACCTGCCAGGTTTCAGGTGTAATGTAGAATTAGGTGACCAGCCTACCCTTCACATACAGTGCATACTCGAGTGCCTTTTAGGTGTAATCTAAATTTAGGTGCCTGAATTCTCTACCGAAATTACACCGAAATTAAAATTACACCGAAAATAACGTGTTATACAGTATTATAACGAAGTGATACAGTAATGCTACTACTGTACCCATCAGAACCAGGCACGAATCTGAAATCCCCCCACAGCAGAATGCATGGTTAAATGAAATAAAATAATGATAGATTTCAGAGTTCGGGTGAGACTCAGTAAGACTGTATTTTCCGTATCTGTAGCAAGGCCACTACCCTCAACGATGAAGGCACAAAAGCAGCTCTTATAGCGGCGGGAGGTGAGTAAATCAGACCCACCACAACGTGCAATTATGTAGCAATATGCTGCGAGAGCTTGACATACCTTGACGGCCTCAATCGCATATTCCACCTGGTAGATGCGACCTTCAGGTGAAAATGTATTCACGCCCCTGTAACAAAGTGGCATCATACATTTGAGTACACAATAAGGTTTAGGAATAAGGATGTTGCAAAGATGGCACAAAACTACGCGTCGCAAGCCCTCTTTGCTCGTCGCAGCCTCTTGCCGCACGCATCCATCAGTTCACTCAGCAAGAAGCTTCAGAGTAACTACCGTAAAAGCCATTATTCTAACGAGGCGCATACATAACGATTTCCCAAAATTGACTGGTTTACGTGTACCAAAGGTAACAATTCTCACTCATTCTCAACGCTCAATAGGACAGTATACGTATCGATTTCTATTTCAACGACAGATTTCTCCTCGTAAACTCGTTAGAGTTAGCACTTCGTTATATATATATATATATGGCTTTTACAGTAAACCGTAAGGCTATTCTGATGATTGCCACCACATTCAAACTTTTCCATGCAGTCAATTACTTTCGCAAACCAGGTGTTCTCCTGTTCGATAGACTTCTATCTGTTGTTTCCTATTGTTTCCTTGGTGCAGATGCTTCATTCTTTTATAATTGCAAAAAATTCATTTCTTGATATGGGATTACTGCCCAATGGAAATCATTATTGACGGGCAATACCAAGAGTGCATAAACAAGAGTATGCAACTGTGATTATGGGTCAGTGCACGGCGCACTGCCTTCATTACGTAACTTGCCTCCATCACACTCTGAAAGCATGCACGCAAACCCTAAATTTCTTGTACGAGACCATCCGGTTTTGCTCGATTCCTTCCAGCACCCTACGCAATCTATAAATTCTGGTGCGTGAACTCCTGTTCAGTACGAAAGCTCATTTCAAACCAGAGGGAACGCGCGGTGTTTAATTTTCCGCAGTGCGCCGTGCATCTGGCCCATAGAAAAGAGATCACACTTGCATACTCTTGTTTTATGGACTGTACATTGGTCAATCAAACAAATAGGCAATGACCCAGTTTTCTGATTATTTCAAGCTCTTAGAGACTTGCTGGTGGCACGATGCAAATGCTCTATCACGCACCGCAAGTGTTTGCCAGCCAAGACCATTCTAATTATTCTCTGACAATATTAATAATTTTAGAAAAAGAATTTTACTGAAAAAATGTTTTGGTCCCCACCACAAGATGAGTTGAAGATAGGTGATTCGGATGACAGAAACTGAAAGACATAAGCTAAGACCCGGTAGCAAATAATCGTCATAGCCTCCACTGTATCATACTTTGTGTATTTACCGAAGTTCGCAAGACACATACAAAAATCAGTGAAATATGAATTGAAAGAGATTTACTCGAATCAATAAAACGAATGAACGGAAAATGGTAACAACATGAAGAATGAAAAGGAAGAGAGCATCGGAGAGGATCGAACTCACCTATCGTATTCGGAGCGTGTCATAAACATGATTGCAGGTGAGAAGAAACCATCCACTGCACTGAAAGTCACACGTTCACAACTTCAAAAAAATGAGCTTCTGGGATCTTCTTTCCACCAGATTTGCTTGGCCGTTTACGTCGCCATATTAGAAGTGCGCATGCGCGGCATTGAACGAGAGCTTCCTTCGTGGAAGATGGCGTGCCCTAGTGTTCGGCGGCTCCATCGAGCCCCTCTTTTCGGGGTCAGTAATGGACGAGCCCATGGAAGTCCTTTGAAGGAATGTAGCTGAAGTATGCTGGTGTTGATTTATTCTTTAGGGTGCGCGCTCAGCAAGCTCACAAGCTTTGGTTAGGACCGAGCAAACTCAACATAGATTGGTATGTTTGGTGTAAAAATGAACACCATAGGATTGTCTGGCTGAGCACTTATGGATAATTGTGGCGTTTTGCTATGCCCAGTCTCTTCTGCAACGCCACCCATTGGAGGTGAATGTGTTGTCAAATGGAGTTCGCGTAGTCACCCAACGCCGCTCTGATGTTGGCTCCGTCTCTGTAAGTGAACTGGCGCGAGAAAAATCCTAGAAAATGACATCAGGCCATCTAGTCTAGTCTTTGGCTAAGCTGATGTGGTTTGCTGCGCCACTGCTTATCCCTAGGTTGGCCTGTTTCGAAAAGGAGGCTCTGAGCAGGAAACCAGAGCAACCAACGGCATCTCTGGATTCCTCCAACGCATCCAGCAAAGGGTAAGTAGGCTCACTGTAAAGTTTTTGAAAATATTGAATTGTACATAAATGCATTAGAAATTTGAGAACATACGGTATTGAATAGGTGGGACCTGTTGTTGCGGGTCACGACCTCAGTCTCACACACGCGACTGGACTGGACTTTGCTTGGCTGAAGGAGAATGCAAGATTTTTTCCTCACAAAACTGTCACACACATACCCCACATCTTTATCATCCCACCAGGCCTCCACAGGATGAGCCTGAGCGGTGTGCCTGGTATATACCCCGCTTAGTACCAGCACAGTGGTGCGATGACGTGCATAAGGACAAGGAACAATGTGGGATGCACAGAGAGAATGAAAAAAAGTAACTGCATACTGCGACTATTCGTCTACATTTATTTGTCTTTCGGTGTACTACAATCTCGCTGTGGCCGTCTATTGATGCTTGTTGCGAGGTTGAACTATCAGGTTGCTCGGCCAGCCAGGCATGTGCACTCAACCTTTCTTGTATTGGTTTCTTTCAATTAACACACGAAAACAACACATCTGCCACCATGGTATCTCGGGCATGGCGGTGGCCTGGCACATCAAAACTCTAAGCTGGTTGTGTTTCTCAACGCATTTGTATAGCCAGTTGTAACCCAGATGTGCGGACTTTGCATTTTATCTGTATTACACCGTGCGGTTTATTTCTGCATGCTCGGTGTTCTGTCTGCATGTAGGGTACAACTAAGCACTCTGCTGCTGCGCTATGCGGCAAGGTAGCTGGTATCAATGGTCGTGTCCACACGGTCAATGAGCGCCAGTACAATGGCACTCTGTTCCGTTCTCCCAAGGAGCATGTCGCTGAGAGTAAGTCTAAACGTATTTTTTGTTCACAAGTTTGAGGGAGTTGGATAGGGGAGGGTGAAAGAAAATTGACTGCCAGCACCAGAACTCGAGCCAGGGACCCTCACTTTCGGCTATCTGTTGTGTAGTCAACATTTTGTTCTGGTTGTCGCAACAGTTGCGTATGATAATTTGCTATCGCCTGTTATGGCGGTTTGTTCTGTTCGACTGTATTCTTCTCGGCCTAATGACCTGGTTTGACTTTCCTCGATGCTGGCTTGTTTTCTAGACATTGCCCTCCTGGCTGGTATGGCTTGCAACCCAGCTCTTAACAAGGACGATATCGAAGCAGAGCGTGCTAGCACGCTGAGGACTCTGCAGGTTCGTTGTGTGTCTGCGTGGGCCTTTCACCTTTGTTTCACGTTTTAACGTTTAGCAGAGCGCTTCTCTAATCCTCATGTATCCATCATGACAACATTCCTCTAGACAAATACCTATGATTTGACATTGTTTTTGGAGACGTCCGATTTATCCATTCTTTCTACGCCATGGCTGGCAAACGCCACCTCCTCATCTATATTGGCACTGATTCATCTTTAGCCACTGGAAGGTGTAATAATAATATAATAATATTAGAGTGACAAAGAGCACAACTTATGATGTGGACAATACTACAGTAAGTCTATAGTACAGTATACCTCCTGGCGACATACAAGTCAGTGCCTATTTTTATGGTACTGTAGATCCAAGGCCGACTGACCGGGGGAAAAATGTGAGGGTCCTCAGAGAAGTTCTTTGTACCCGATGTCAAGAGAAAAAAGCATGTAATATCCAGGGAACTGGGATAGTCTTGGTCTCCACTGGGTAACACTCGTGGAATCTAGGAAGCGTTTATTTCTCGTAGGACATAGTGATATCATCAATGGTGTTCTTCCCAGGCGTTGAGTTCCGCAGGTTTCCTCGTAATCTGTTGGTTATTACCTTGGGGATAGTAACGAACGCACTGCTTTGTCATGATCTGAACTCCAATGTTCTTTCATGCTGTGTTGGATTGCATTGCTTTCCTTCTCAGTGTGCTTACACACTCCACCGCGTATGCAAAGATACAAAGAGAGAAAGAAGTATGTATCCAGGGTATTGGGTTTAGTAGACGATGTGTTTGTTCATTGGATGATAGTTTGGTTCCTGGTATCACTAGTTTTGATGATGACTTTGTATCCACCACTGTGACGAGTGTGAATGTTTGTGATTTGCTACTGGAGCGCAGGCCACTGGAACATGCTTGTATATATTGTGCCTATGTCTTGTGTTGTTGGCAGGCTACTCAGCTTGACCCGGAGGCCTGCCTTTATGATTACCTGCACGACGTTGCTTTCCAAGGCACCACCTTGTCTTTGTCTCCTCTGGGTAACACTGATGGAATCAAGTAAGCATTTATTTCTCGCATGACAGTGATATCATCAATGATGTTCTTCCCAGGCGTTGAGTTCCGCAGGTTTCCTCATAATCTGTTGGTTATTACCTTGGGGATAGTAACGAACACACTGCGTTGTCATGATCTGAACTCCAATGTTCTTTCATGCTGTGTGGGATTGCGTTGCATTCCTTCTCAGTGTGCTTACACACTCCACACCATGTACGTATATAATTATAGTTGCTTATTATTACAGATACTTGGATTTAGAATAAGGGACTGTCTGTAGATGTTGGTAATGCTCCTAAGGGAATGTGTTGTGTTTCTCCTTGAACCCTCCCGTAATGAATGCCTGTGTGCACTGCCCATTGTGTAAATCTAATTTCCAGAGTGCACCTCTGAACTTGTTGACTGAAACCCCCTGATGAAAAACCCGCCCGATTGACATGTTCGTTGCCAGAAAAATATGTCTACCGAGCACTACCGTACTCGCGTGATTAGTGCCCCTGGTGCACTATTTTTTTCAATGTCCATCACGGACGGGGTAGTATTCAAGTAGGGCACTATTTTTTCATTGCTGGTACATTTACGTCATCCAGCATAAAACAAAGAAAAACAGAGCCTAAAGTGTACTGTAAACACTCATGACTCCACAGAAACGGGAACAAGACCTGCGATTTTGTTCCTGAAAACACCAGTGCAAAGCAATGGCCAAGAACATTAGCAAAAGAACACCAAACTAGCACATGGGCTTGGTTACAAGACTGGGGGGGGGGGGCACTATTCAAGAGAGGGCTTTATTTTTCACTGGTTCTTGGAGACTAGGGCTCCAATCGCGCGAGTACGGTACTCCCTCTGCTAAATTTTGTGGCTGCAGTTATCGCTTCATGTGTTCCCTGTTTTTCTTGCTCCTTTTCACACTACCACAGCTCCATCACTCAGGAGTCCCTGGCCAACTTTGCCAGAGATTCCACAGTCGGCGAGAATCTTTGCCTTGCTGTTGTTGGTGGTAAGCTTGACGTACTTGTGTGGGTGTTAGTCCTTCTGGAAGCTAGTGAGGCTAGACCATTGGTGTGGGCCATCTGGTGATATGTTGTCTGTCTCTGGTCTTTTTGCCGGTGGTAGGCTTGCGCCTTACTTGTTGTGCAGAGTTTGTGACTGTGACTATTTGTCACTTTCTTCGTGTGTACATACATGCCTTTGTGGATTATCAGATTTTACTTCCTTTTTGGAAACTCGTTTAGAGACAACTGTTGTCTATTTTATTCTTTTTACTGTTCCGTAGATGTTGAGCATGCCGAGGTAATGGAGGCTGCTGAGAAGCACCTGCAATCTATCCCAGCTGGAAAGAGTGTGGAGTTCCTCCCCATTAGATACTCTGGCTCCCATGTAAGTGACAATGTTGATTTGTTGTGTTCAGATGTTTGAAGTTTATGAAATTGAAAAGTGACCACCATCCCAGGACGAGAACCAGGGTCTTATTCCAGTCATTAGAGAGGTTCCGCATAACGTAATTACGTTAGTAAAAAACGTAGTCGATCTACGGAAAGTCTTACGTAAACTGAATTCGCATCTCGGTTCCGCCATACGGAGTTTTCAATTCACGTAGCTGCCCTTGGCAACTCCGAACGCGGCAGTGTACGACCAGATCCACCTGGGGAGAGAGTCATAAATTTGTACCCCAATCCACTTACGGACCAGCTACGTTATCAGAGCCCTATCTACGTACTCTCCGTAAGTGGAGTGCAAACTCGCGAATTCACGGGTTTTCCCCGTAAAGTTTAGGGTTCACGGATTGGCATGCTAGCGTCGCCAGCTACATCATGCACGTGACAGGCGCGTGCATATACTGTCCCACACAATCGGTCAGTGCTCAAATCGCATTTTCCCATCAATATCACTCACTTTCAACTCTACGGGATTCATTACGGTTGGCTCAAACTGCCTGAATTTTTGAATCCACGCGCACGAAAGACGTTCCAAGACTTCCACCGTTCGTATTTTTTCAAACGAGTTCCGGGTTTTCCAGTAACTTTGGCCAAAGTTCGGCTACAAAACCAGGGGGAGCCGTTGCGTTTCCGTAAATTACTGAACGGTAGAAGGATAGCCAAGGTCGAGAGCAAAACAACAAGCCATTATTTGTCAAAATCGAACAAGAAACGGCTCAGCGCATCTATTTTCCGTGCACGCGCGCGCGTACTTTGGCCGACAAGGTGTGGAGAATTTCTTGAAGAAGAAGAATAACAAGAGCAGCAGCGCTCGGAACAGCCGTGCTGGATACTTCCAATCCCGACGATGGAGCGTGTTGGCTGTCGTGAGCTGCTGAAACGACCATGACATTTCTTTTTCTTTGTATACCCTACATATCTTGACGTGCCCTAGCTCAGTTTCGGCCTCTTTACAGGAAGAATATTTTCTTCCATGGCATCAGCGGCCAAACAGCAAGAAGAGCAACAGATCGAGATTTGCAGGGCAAACAAAGGATGCGTGCAGCTACATCTAGTCAGGTTCGATGCAGCTGCGCTTTGCCAGAACCTCAGCAGATAAGAAAAGACGACAGAGTGTCTCAGATGGAACTGGATCTTTCGCCAAGACCGCCACCGCCGCCATCATCAAGTCCAGGTCAGTCAGAAAAATGCAAAGCCCGAGTGAAGTGAAGCCACTGAAGCCAAGGAAAAATTCAAAAAGTACGCTCTCCGGCTAGACTTCGAGTCGATATTTTTTTACTTCGATAGGCGCTGTCGCGGCCTGTAGCGCGCGTCCATAATCCAAAATGGAGGCGCACGTGACGGGTGCTTTTAGTGGCAAGCCGTGAACCCTAAAGTTGCTCAACTTTACGTAGTGCGGAACCTCTCTATTATTTCATTATCTCCTTATGTATAATGCACTGGTGAATGTAGAGATGCCCGTATGTGGGGTGACACTTGGGTGCGGAGTGGTTTTGAACCATAATCCCAGACACGCATGCAGAATATCCCTGTTTTTGTGTTCTTGAAAGCTGAACTTAAGTTGTAATGTCAAAACCTATTTGTTGTACTTTTGTGCTTTTCCTGTAGGTCAACGTCCGTGATGACGATATGGGCCTTTGCTATACTGCTATCGGATTTGAGGTAGGTTTTGTGCTATGGTGCGTGAATGGTGGTGTATAAGTTGTCAGTGTGACTGCCTTGTGGATGTGTGTTGTTCCCTTCCTAACCCTGACTGTCCTCTGACTCGTGATTTCAGGCTCCTGCTTATGGCAACGCTGACTCCTTGGCAATGGAGGCTGTCCGCCATGTAAGTTACTGAGTAGGTTGGTTTTTGATCTTATGTTCATGTTCACCTGCCTTGAAGTGAATGTAACCAACCAACGGTGTGGCGTAAGACACTTTGCATTAGCCTATGGTGCGGCACCTGCAACTGCTTTCCGTGTTACTTCACCATGATTGTTTGCCCAGTAAATAACTGTTATCACTCTTCATACACACTTATGATATCTCACTATTTGGTCTCTCTCTTTCTCGGGACATATTTCAATGCATTATACTGAAGGTTGTTGCACAAGTATGGTGGTGTATGCATGCACTGAAGAAATATGACACTCAACTGACTTGGATGGGTTTGCATTTGAGACGGGTGCTCTGATGTGGGAGATTCGAGTGTACATGCCAGATGCTCAGCATTAAATATGGTGCTGGTATTACCTGTTGTGTTTTTGTTATTTTAGATCTGTGGACAGTACGACAGGTCTTGCGGCGCTGATGCCCGGCATGGTCTTGTCCGCGCTGCTTATGTAAGTTTAATTTTGTAGCTCTTGTTTTCTTGCTGTCTGTTTCTTTCTCTTGGCTTTGTCATTTCTGCTGATGTGTGATTACCTCTTCAATCCATACCCAGCTGTAACACCTTGTGTTTCCTGTGTACTTTGTAGGACGCCCATCAGTGGGATTACAATGTCTATGCCTACTGCTTCAAGCCATTCGCTTTCTATTATGGCACCGCTGGTCTTTTGTAAGTATTCTGCCACCTTGTCGATTGCTTCTGCAATGAGGTTCATCACAGTACTGTAAAACAGTTTAATTTTGGTGATTTTGGTAGAAATACCAAGCACCTAAATTTAGATTACACCTAAATGGCATACTGTAGAGGCAGAAAATTTCGTCGGTCAATAATTTCGTCCAACTCCAAAGAAAAGGAGTTCGTCCGGTTGAAAATTTCGTCCATGGATCATAAGAGTGTATAGAAACGCTGGACAAATCGATATTCGTCCTACATTTAATTTAGTCCAAAAGCTCCTTGGACGAAAAAGACGAAATTAAATTCCAGACGAATATTTCTGCTTATACAGTAATAGTATGAGCTGTATGTGAAGGGAATGCTGGTTACCTAATTCTAAGTTACACCTGAAACCCATCAGGTCCCTGACACCGAAATTTTAATGCACCGAAATTTACATGTTTTACAGTATATTCAAGATTGTGACAGTCCATGGTGGCTGACTCCTGCATTGGACGTGCATTCTGAGTGGAAGTGCATTGCTGCCAATTTGCTGGGTCTACTTCCCTTGATGGTCAACATCGTGTTTTGCCCCTTTAGCAAAGGGGGGCCCGATATCTTGGTCTGACTTTGACTGCTAGGTCGAGTATTGCCATTTTGGTGCTGGTTTCTCTCGCCTGGGTGTTATAGCCGCTGTGCTTCCTGCTTGTTTCCTTCAGTGGCACCTACATCATTAGCCACAACCCATCCCAGGAGGCTTCTTTCTCTTACGTTTCCCAGGACTGGTAAGCAGTTGTGTGACCTACCTAATGTGTTCGCCTCCGTTCTTGTCGTCCATGTATGTTGTGTGCAGTTCTAAACTGAGATGTTGTGTTACATGTATGTCAGGTGCTGCTCTAAGCTGAGATGTTTTCGGTGCCTCACTGTTATCCTTCTTTTCCCTCTGCTTCCGTAGGCATCGCATTCGACACAGATGCCGTGAAGCTGACGTTGACCGTGCCAAGTGCGAGATGAAGGCTGAACTTGCTTTGAACACCGAATGTAAGCTTCCCGCATTGTCCTCTGCAGTTGGTTAAATAGTGTCTGTTTGCTGCAGTGATCCAATGGCCATGAGGTCATTCGAATAGGTAAACGGTGCATGACCTGTGTAGTTTTGTTTTAGGCCTCGGGTGCATAGAAGCATTGCTTTATGTGCCTTCTTCTGCTTAGGTGCTCCCCATGCTAGCCATGCATTTCTGAATAATATTATGTTATAGCTTGTCTTTAGACATTTCTTCTTCCCTCTTCTTTCCCTGCAGCAACATCCGGTCAAGTTGAGCTGATGGGAAAGTAAGTCTTACTGAATCAGCCTCTTTTAGGTTTTGTCATGATTGTGATGTTTGTTTGAACAGGATCTTCTCCAATGGGCAGCGATTTGTACTTGAAAGTTTAGTCTACTTCAAGTATGTGCTACTAATTTTTTGTTTTTCATTGCCTCATGAAAGCTTTCCCCTTTATGTCTTTTTACAGGCAATTGATGACCCTCGGCAGAGCGATTCCCCTCCATGAGATGGATCAGAGAATCGACGTGAGTACATCTACTGGCTGTTGAGAATATTGCCCCCCCCCCCCCCCCCCTCACTCACCTGTTTATCTACACGCCTTGCAAGGTTCTTTTGTTCCCACCTACAGTGCTGGCAACTGAAATCCGATCCCCCTAGCGTCTCGTACGAATCGCTAACGCGGCTAGCGTACCGCTAGGGGGGGGGGGGGGGGGGGCCAAATTTCAGTTGCCAGCACTATATTACATGAATCTCCAGCACGATAACATTGCATTGCATTCGGCCATGTAAAATATATTCATTCTTTATCGTCAGATTTTCCCGAAAAATCGGGGCGGGCGGGAGGTATTTTATTATATTTTTCATGTATGGTATACTGGTAGGTGTTCACAAGACTCACAACCCCTAGACATGCCTTTCTTCACTATTCTTTTTTGGAAGCCATATTGCGCAGCGTGAGATAAATCCATGTGATGCAGATGAATCGTCAGCCATGAATAACATCTTGCAAGATAATTGAGGATTGCTTTGAGGAAAAGTGAAACAACCAACATAGCACAAAGAAAATCAGGCAGCTGATAATCTCTTTCACTTTTATAGCCCATAGCACATACATGTATGGTTCCTTCTGCGGACTTGGCCTTCCAAGATCTACAGTCACGCTGATTAGAAACAGCAGGCGGAGATCGCAGTACATACAGTACATTTACCGGAACTAAAAAATATAATTTGGCCGGGGGGAGGGGCGGAAATTCGGGGCGGGCACCGACGATAAAATTAATAATCTTTTTTTCACTTGGCCTTTATATAACATGAATTTCTCAATAACATGAATTTCCCTATTTTCAGACACATTTCGTCGGCTGGGATCATGCCAAGTCAGATTTGTGAAAACAGTGTTGTTACGCCTTCTTTGCAGAGGCTCTGCATTGCACTTTTACCATTGGCCTATTCTCTGTACTCTTTCGATGACTTTTTTTGCGCCTGTCTGTTGGTCTCTGCTTTGTCCTTTATGTAACATGCTTGAGTTCTTTCTGTATGTGACTATCTTTCTCAGAACTTGCATGCCGACTTTGTCCGCACTGCAATGGATGAGTACTTCTACGACACTGACCCAGTATATGCTGAGATGGGTAAGTTCTTTGGTGCTCACAGGGTTTTGTTTTTCACTGCTTACCATACCGTGTCATATTTTCCAAATTTGGCAGCCTGCATTTGAATGATACCCAGCAGATCCGTACTCATTTTCTTTGCATGCAGCACAACGTAGAGAACCTCATCTACGCATAGAAATCTGGACCCAGAAGCTGTAGACTCTACGTTTCACGTATGGCAGAGCCTCAATATGTCTCTTTTCCCATCCACCTAAAGCGGGATTAACAGAAAGTTTTCGTGTTGAGTTGCAGAAATAGAAGAGTTAATCCATTGAGAACCGCATGCAACACCATGCATGCGCCTTGCGACACTCCAGTTGTGTGACTAATACGTGACTAAGGATTTCATATCCCGTTCACGGAATAATTAAATTAAATTTTGAATTAATTGATGTTGCCGGTGTTTGTGTGTGATTACTTTAGGTCACTGTGAAACTGAGTTGGACTACCATGTTGTCCGCAGGATGATGTACCTGCCTGATCTGCCAGACCAGTAAATGTGTGTCACGTCATCATATTACTGCAGTAGATTTATGCACGCTGTACATAACATGATTGCAATCTTCATCAGTCTCCGCTGTTCTCTTCTTATCTGTCCTATTTTTTCTTTATTTATGTTCTTCTTTGCTCTCTTCGTCAAGCATTCTCGTCTTGTTCAATCGTAGGAACTGTCAAATTAATAATTTGCTGGATTGTGGCCTATTTTATGATAAAACAACTGTGATCGAAACCTCCTCCAGTGTATGATGTGCCTTTTGCCGTGTGGTGTATTTCAACATCCTCCCTCCCCCTCAAACGAAAAACAAGTAACTCAAGAAACCCACACAGCTCGCGCAGAGCTGTCGGCGCAAGTACTTCAAGTAAATAACCAAAATATTCACAGAAGTGATGATATGAAACGTAACAAGCAGCAGTACTCACAGAGCCAGCCATGCCCCTACGTTGGTAACTATGTCAAGGAATTTGCGGCCTTACAGTAAATAATGCAGTTATTGGCTGTTTGCTAGTTAGTGTTTTAGATCAATGTCAACGGTACCTGCTGCTTTCTAGGCATTGCCCACGTCGAGAAATTACTGCGAGGCAGGGATTGTTATCGATGAGGGATAGGTTCATTTGACAAAAAAACGATTCTTTTGCACGTTCTATTCTATGCATCTAATAGTTGATGGCTTGTAATGACTTTCAGTGGCTACTCAATCTTCTACCTAATAAGGCCAGACATTCTATTACGTCGATTCCGGTATTGTGCTCACGAGCACATCGTCTTTCACCATTCTTCACTTGAACGAGCTGGGCGAGGCAAGTCCAGACATGGAGCGGAGTTGCGAACACCGGCATATCACCAGTCTCAGGGTTTCCCGTACGTCCGACAGGACTGGAAGCACTTGCCGGCAATCGTAGTCCCTCACATCCGTTGAATTGATCTGGATAGACAAGCCAAATGGAGAGCGGTTTTAAAATAATGCTTGCAGTCATGTCAGAAGGCAACGAAAGTACAACTTTTGAGTTTCTGGACATGTTCTGAACAAGGTGTGATTGTTGACTGTTCACAACGTCAGCATGCATCGAGTACGGCCTAGAATATGTAGAGTAGAGCCGAGTGCCCAAGAAGGTTGTTTCCAAAGGGTTAGCCTGGGATGTTCTTTTTTTTAAGCAATCTGGTCAGTTCCTGTAGCACGTTCTTAGAAACGATACGTACTGGATCATATGAATTCCAAAAGCTGCCAGGAAACAACATCGCCGTTCTTAAATATACGCTGTGGTGTTCTTCGACTGTTGTAATATCAAGGCACCATGCAGCTACACCACGGTGCAAAGGAAAGACATGCAGCAAAGTCTCACGCCGAAGAACGTTGAGCCCAAGAACGCCACAGCCTAAAGTGAAGAATGTGTGCTATAAGAATGCAGCCAGATTGCTGAAAATATAAGAATGCCCAGGCTAACTAACCCCTTGGAAACAACGTTCTTGGACGCACGACTCTACTGTACAGAGGATCTTCAGATCACACCAGCCTACAGGTGTGAGATTAGCAGCACGCTGCCAGTCTATAGTGCTCTATTATTCTCACCTGTAGTACTCTGTCCAGTGGTTTGAGTTTGCTTTGCTGCATGGCAATGCCACCTGGCATCAAGGCACGGATGTAGACACCCGGCTCTGAGAGACCGTCGGAGATACTGAAGCCGAAACTGGTGTTGAGGCCCGGCCGGGACAGTTCGATGACGTGCATCTCGACTGACTGCACAGTCGGGGTCACTCGCTCACCACCGACACTGCCACCGTCCAGAGAATGGCGGTCAGCGGGCACGGTGCTCGTGGAGCGGCTTGCCGGGACGGCCTGGCGGAATGAGCTGCGGCGAGCACCGGCCGGAGTGCTAGCTGCAGAGGAGACACTTCCACCGCTGATAGCTGCCGCACTCTGCGCTGCTACTGTAGTGAGGGTGCTTGCTGCCTGCGTCGACACCACCGCCGCCGCCCTGTCAGGACTCTTGCCGGTAGATAAGAGTGATGTAAACGTAGTTGAATCCAGTAACGACGACTCGAGCTCCGCCAACAATGACGAGGGATCCTGTGATGGTGGCTCCACTGGTTGCTTGTCAGCGCTTGCCAACTTGGCATGGGCTGATGTTGCTCTTGGCCGGAGAACGGTTGTTTGCGGACTGGACTGAGAGGAGTTGTCGGAATGGCCGGTGGTTGTGCCGTGCAAGCTGGACATGTCCGAATGCGTTGAAGAGCCGGCGTCGCTGAACGGTGCCTGACTTGGTGGTCGTGAGTGACGGGTGAGGCTGTTGGTCGTGTACGATGACGATGTGCCACTGCGCGGCAGGGCACTGAACGAGGTCTGTTGTCTGGTCGGCACACGCACTGTACTAGTCGGAGTGGTGGCCGTTGGCAGTGACGCGGCGATGGAGGTTTCCGGCACTTCAGTCCAGCGTCGGCGGTAGTCCTGATTGCCAGCCGATGCAGGTCTTCTGTGCACTTTCTGCTGCTGCTGCTGTCCAGGCGTGTGCGTAAGGCTAGCAGCCACCGCAGCCGGAGTCCTCGAACCGATACTGCCAATCTGACTACCTCTGCTGCCAGCCAGAAAGCCACCGGTACGGTTTGTCGACGGCGTGCTGGCACTGCTTATGGCGTCGTCGTCACTGCCGGTCACACCGTGAATGCGCGACACCTGCCACGAGTCGTGGCTCTGCCGCAGCGGTGACGGAAACGAGGCAGTTGCCAGTGAAGACAACTGCGAATCACTATCACTGCTGTAAGCCTCTGCAAGGTGTGCAATAGCAACAGAAGACACAAATCAGACAATTAAGTTCACTGTGTGACTTTCTGATACTTTAGTAGAAGAATAAGTGTGATTGTTGAATTGATTCACCGTATAGCTTTCTTGAAACGTAATCTACCGTTATCACATTCACTTACTCATGATTGCAACCACGGTAAATGAACGAATGACTCAACACAAAGGTAATTAATGCCACACGAACACACAGCGACGACGAACACACAGAAACGCACACGTAGGAAGGCAGGCCTCACGCTAACTCACTCTTGCTAGTTCGCTGGATCTTCAGCTGAACTGAATCGCCGACTTCCTCCAGCAATCGCACTGCCTGCGGCACGCTGAACGTGCGCAGCGACTGGTTGTTGATGCTAAGAATGATGTCACCTTTCTGCAAGGCACCAGTCCTGCGAGTACAGCCAGACGGAGACAGCGGCAGAAAAACAATGAGTACATCGAACAGTGTACTATAGAAATAAAACATACACACAGAAACACCCTACTGGTAGTGCTACAGTTGGGAGTAACTTACAACAACAAAATGTAACTACACAGAAGAGACAACATCCACGGCACTCTGGCCTGTTCGGAGAGTTGCCAGTTGGAGCTGAATAGGCAGTGTGGCTGGTACAAAATACCAGTGTGGCCAGTACACACCTACCTGAACACAACACCATCCTCCCGTATATCAGACACATAGATGGGTTCGCCAGGCAGAGTAGATCCTGCAGTCAGGTGGGAAAGACACAATGACACACGTGTTGCGAGTCTACTGAATGGCATACACATCTAACCGCTTGTCCGGTACTGTAGTGCTCGTACTGCTAGGAGTGGTGCAGTAAACAAACCGATACAGCCAATTGGAATACATGTACCCTTGCACTGGGACACCAAGGCTTGAAACAACTACGGCTCTCACGTCACACAGTGCAGCATTGCCCCCAGTGGAATTTACAGGATTGAGATGTGTGACGTCTTGCAATGCCCCAGAACGATGCGAACTCGCGAATACCGTTCACGGAAGAAGTTGGTGAAGCAAGTCCATTCGAATGATCACTCTCAAAGCACAATGCAGGGACTATGACTCCTTGGTATTCGCGCTATGCTTACGGGCAGATTACTATCGGAGACCGTTCATCTGCTATTGGTGAACAAGTGGGGCCATGTGAAGGGTAGTCAGTAGTCACTGGCTTACCGTTCAGTGTTATGCCCAGACTTCTGCCACGTCTCACCAACTCAACGGCAAACTCCACACTGTCATCGGCCACATCCAGCTGGTGCTCTTTCTTGCAGATGGTCAGCACCACAATGTCAGTGCTGTCTCGCAGCATTCCTGCCGCTTCGCTCAACGTCGATCTGCCCACTGGGATGCCGTTGATCGCCTGCAGGCCATCACCACACTCCACCAAGCCACTGCGATACGCCACGCCACCTCTCTTCACCTGACTGATCCACATGCCATCACCTTCGCCTCCTGAAAGCGGCAACAACCAGGCAAACCAGTATCACAACTCATAATATTGTGCACACCAGGGACCAAGAATAGTGTGATCAGAGAAAGACAGACAGCCAGACAGACAGACGTGCAGACAGACAGACACGCTAGTACAGGGAGACAGAGATTGCAGCAACAAACCAACACAACAGCACGCATTGCAGTGCATCAGTGAGATCAGGACATGGCTACGGGCAAAACGGACTCGTGCCGTACCATTTATTGTGAGTCCAAGGGAAGTTGTATTCTTGTACAGGCGAACATCAAACACGCCTGATGTAGGCTTAACACCGTCTGAAAGTAGACACAGGTAATAAACAGCAGGCATGTTATCAACAAGTAGCAAATTGAATAGCAGATACACTGAAAGATAAATAAATACATGGATGAATGGACAGAGGGATGGATAGGTGGGTGGTACATGTACTAGTAAATGGACAGCCAAACAAACTACTACTGCGGTGGAGTATGAGACACTCACCAGATACGTCAAATTCCAGATGGCACAGCATATGTCCACTACTCTCACGGATCAGCTTGCACACATCATCCAAGTTCATGCCACCAAGTGGAGTACCGTTGATTGTGATGATGCGATCACCAACCTGCATGACACCGATTCTGCAGCATGGCAAAGCAAAACACATGCACAGCCCAGCTTAGATTAATGATAGCTTGCATAGACCTCGGTCCTACCGGTAGGACCTACCGGTAGGACCATCATACACAGACATGCTGCATGGCCTCTGTTCTAACATTGACTTAAAACTTGACCCTAAACTGTTGCTCAGGGGATAATGAAGGAGTCCACAAATTTTGGACGGGATCGCACAAGGCATACTACGAAATTCCATGGTAACAGCCCATGGTAACCATGGAAATGGTGTATGGAATTATGCATTCCACTGCCTTGGCAGACTAATAAAAACATTAGTACCTCACCACGATTGATGTGCCATGGTCAAAATTCACTTTGGACAGAGTTGCTAGCGCTCCGACAGGAGTATGTGCGGCCATTTTGACAATTGATAAAATTGCGCGTATGCAATGCACTGGACATAGCCTTGCATTTTGCGCCATTACTTTGCCTGACAAAGACCTCATCTCAACAATTGTTTGAAGAAATTTCTCAACAAAAAGCACTTTTGCAGCGCGATTTCTTGGGTCCTACCGGTAGGACCCGTGGTCCTACCGGTAGGACGGCATGCAAGCTATCATTAACTCACATTGTGAAAGAGTGGAGCAGGGCTGGGAAAGAGTGGAGCAGGGCTGGGAAAGAGTGGAGCAGGGCTGGGAAAGAGTGGAGCAGGGCTGGGAAAGAGTGGACCAGGGCTGCATGAGCATGCGGGCTAGCAGAAGAGAACCATTTGGTTGAAAGGTGGAATGCATTTGCAGTCTTTGGTCTTGCACTTCACAACCAGGTGCCAGGTCATGTACGTCTATCCTCTTTGTCGCCGTGACGCTTTGGCTGTCCACTCACCTATCTGCAGGACTGTCTTTCTCAATGCTGGACACGGTTATGGGACCTCCGGACACGCCGCCACCAGAGATGGAAAAGCCGTAGCCGAACGGATCGGCTGTCAGCTCCAGGTCCAGGGTCTCCTGTCGGCATAGCTGCATGGCACTGTGAGTGGGCAGTACATGACGATCAACCACGGACAGGGAACTGCTGCCGCCGCCACCGCTGCCGCCGCCATCACGGTCTTGGGCTGCCGACACGGAGTACACTGAGCCCCGCAAGGAAAAAAAACAGAGCAAAAGAAGAAAGAAAGCATGCCAACAATGGTCTAGGGTTAGCAACAGAAAGTACAAGGGAGACATTCCCCGTGGCTTGACTCTCTTACATGCACCGTTTCAGCTAGAAAATCTCACCAGGCCAGATCATTGTCATGCAGGTCATCCTACTACTGTACCGTGAAAATCTAGATGCAAAAACGAGCACTGTCAATTGATTGCTGCTTACACGAGGAGTTACGCTTGGCCACGGGTGGTTTAGGCTTGGCAAGACCGGGTCCGGAGGTGGTGTGTGCACGTGGTCTGGCCAAGGACTGTCCTGACGCGGAGTCCGACACGCCCAGAGCGGAATCTTCTCGAGATAGGCTTAGATGATGTGCACTGGTTGTCGAGCTAAATCCATTTGATGTTGGTAGGCCGATGGTGGTGGTTGCAATAGTGGGTGGCTGGTGGCCTGCAAGAACGAGAGAACGATATGCAAAACTCAAGAGTTGAAACAAGCAGTTCGAATAATACCTAGTCCCGTCAAGTATCGGTGATCCACCCCTCTCTAATTTCCGTCCCCTGTCAAATTTCTGCCTGTGAAACGACTTCGACGTATGCAATGAAATACGGGGTTGAACCGACGCATGCACTGCTGTACGCAATGTGTGACGGTGCAGAATGAAAAATGTGCACAATCCAGCATGCCAAGTCTGATCTTCTGCTTTGTTGTACATTGTACATGTACTGCACTTGAATGACTTGATCACATTTTTTTGTTCTCCACATGTTTTTCAGCAGGGCTGTGTTTTAATAGTAAAAATACAATAAAAAATATAAAAAATCCCGACCCCTTCCGAAAAGCCAGCTGGGAAGCGACACGGCGGGGGGGGGGGGGGGGGGGGGGGAGGGATCAATGGTACTTCACGGTATACATCTGCCTTCAACCGCATCGCGGCAATGAAGCATACTGGGTATATACTGGGTATGTCAGATAATGTAGAAGCCAACCTGTGAGAACAATGCCTTGCTCTGCTACTTACGGCCCCAAAGCCTCTGTCCTGGATCTGTGCTGTTGCCTTTGCCATTTATGCCGTTCATCGGCCCTATGGACAAAACAGGATCAGCAAGAGCACAGACTGACATGAATCAGATGTGACAGCAACCTACTCGAATGTACACATGCACACCTCCATTGCCACTGTATACAGTTAACCCTGTCTCGAGGGACCGTCAAAACGTGGTCTCTGTTACCAGGTGGTCTCCTTATCCAGGGTCACTTGACTGGAAATAGCATTGGTGCTGGTTTCAGTGGTCTTCTAAGGCAGGTGCTCGCCTTGACAGGTTTTACTGTACTCCGTGTGTGTGTATCTTTCGCCAACAACCCATAGCACACACCAAGGAGAAAGCTACTGTGGCATTTGTAAAAAGTACATTGTAGGATTCCTATGGCAGGCATGTCATCCGATCTTCACCACTGCAATGCTGATAGCTATGGCGTCTCACCATCAGCATCATGTATGATCTCCTCCGGCGGTTCTGGCAGATCATCGTCATCATCGTCATCCTGGGCGTTGTGAGATTGTGCGGGCGACATTGCATTGCGGTGCATGGGCGGTGTCCGGATGCTGCGGTGAATGGGCAGTATCTCCAGCGTCACCATACGCTCGGCCTTCAGCAGCATTGCCACGGCTTCCGGCAGCGTGGAGTTCTCCAGGTTGCGACCGTTGATGGCTAGCAGGCGATCGTGCTGATGCAGGGCACCACATCGGTCTGCGATGCCACCGGGACGGATGTCGGAGATTGTGATTGCCTCACCGGCATCAGGACTCCCTGCATGTCGGAAAACCACGGGCACACACACACACACACAGTGGGATCAATACAGGTACACATTCTTTACCGGCATGAGATTTATGCCGTAAGCAGTCCTGCCACTGGAACATACAAGGTGTACTCTACCCATCTATTAGTACAAGTTACTCAGGATTTTCCTAATCACAAGAAGAGATCAAGAACAAAACCAAACTCCTATGTACTGGGCATTGCTTGAACGAACAGTGCTTTTAACCAAACTTACCACTCAGCGTAAGACCAAGACTAATACCTGGCGGCTTGACGAGCTCAACCAGCAGGACAGAGCAAGGGTCATTGTCCTGCAGTGCGGCTGCACAGGACGACAGCAAACAGAATCCAATTCCTTTACAATGGCATGGCATATACGTCATAATCAGAGAATTCCTGTCTACAAAGAGCTCCAGCACACGCACACAGAGATCCTGCTCACCGTAATCCATCAATATCTTAACAGTGATGATAACATACCAGTACATTTAGCCTATGGTGCCTATGCAAAACAAGAAAGGCACACAGGACTAACTGTTACACAATAATCTAATGCATGGAGTTCATACAGTGGCAGTTTACCTTGTAGAGTCACATCATACTCGATGTCAAGCTTGACCAAGTTCGGTGACTCGCGGAGTGCCGTGATGGCCCCAGATAGTGTGTAGTCGCCGACAAAGCGGTCATTGACACGCATTAGGCGATCACCAACTTTCACCGTTCCCAGTCTGGACAAGCATACGGAAAAAGAGGAATTTATTACAGTCGTAGATTGGCACTGAAGATGAGGTGAGGATTCACCCTTTGAATGTATGTGCAAATCTGCAGTGTCCACAACCTCACCGAATAATGTCATGCATGGCTAGATTGAGTGGTACTGTCCAGAGTGTGTTACTGCACATCAACACTGAGGCATGCACAGTTGCGCTCGGTGAAATCCGGCCCAGAGTGCAAAACTGGCGCCCTGTACCAGTAACGATTACACTGGATTTGTACATGTGTACGTCCAGCCGTATTCGTGCCACTTCCAGGGCATCAAGGGCCGTTCAAATTGAGGGCGCCAAATGTGCACTCCGCGTTGGATTTCACCGAGCACAGCAGCACAGTTTGGTATGGTTAAGTTTGTTGGGACGACGTACATAATCACTGAGTCCATGTCAGAATATCTACTCACTTGTGCAGTTCGCTACCAGGCCGAATGTAGGCAATAGTCAGCGGTCGATCAAGACCTTCATCGACGCCACCTGAACAAATACATCACATTGAAAAGCACAGGTTACCAATATGGTAAGCTCAGAAACCTCGGTGCTGTATTTGCAGTTCGGCAGCTATTCATGAACCGTCTCTGGACTTAAAATACGGATCACTGACACACTACTATCTGTGGAAGCTACCGCTGCTGTTGCTAGAACATGGCATGCCTTTTCCACTAGAACTTGCCTCTCAGCTTGAAACCGAATCCATCTGCTTCGCCGTGCACCTCGACAGTAATCTGCTTCTTCTTCGTTGCCGACTCTGGAGGTGGAGCTGTAGGAAGGGAGGACAAACATGACCACATTGGTGTTACACATACATGCGTACAAGTGCGCGCCGGTAGTATGCAAGTACTCATGCACACGAAACGCACCATGCCCCCTCCTCCCCTCCCCACCAAACATACACCACTTCTCTCCGTAGAAGTAATCACACAAGTGACTTTCCACTCACCTCCCTCAGGCAGGTCGTACTCTATCTCCAGATACGCTGCGGTCCCAGCGGATTGCAAGAGGCGCACCACGGCATCATGGTGGAGGTCATCGGTCGACGTTCCGTTCACCGCCAGAATGCGATCGCCGATTTCCAGCAGTTCGGTTCTGCACGAAAGCATGGCAATGTGGTAGACATGCACAGAGGCTCAGGTATGGCATAGATTTGGCTGCAAGTCCAAATGACTACTAGAGGAATCTAGATGCGATCAGCTGTGGGGGAAAAAAGCTGGACTAGTGCTTGCATGCACCAATTCTGTTATGATGATGTGGTGTGAGGATGCAGTTCTTTAGAGACTGCTCTGGAGAAGAGTGGTTGTAATAGCAGATACGTTTGAATGACTACCAATCTACCAGTCCACGTCTGGGTGGTGTGTAACACTTACGTCTTGGCAATGCCTCCCTCGCGCATGTCAGCAATCGTGACAACCTCCCCATGGTCCAGACCACCTTGAAGCAACAGCAGTGAAGGCCAGAACAGGAAGTACAGCAGTCAAGTCTCTTTTCGGTAACGTGCTCTTTTACACTGTCTCCATACCATGCATGGCCACTCTTTGCAAGCATGCAGCTGAGCACATTGCAGACACACGCCTGCACTGGGACAGTAGCTCTACAGCTGTACACAATGAGATAAGAGTTTCGACTTCACTCTCAGTTTTGAATCAGATATCCTCCTCTCCAAGATACAGCACATGCAAGCTTTAGGAACAAGCAAAGTGTACTGGTAGGTCACAGCATTACGCAACAGCTGATAAAGAAGCTTAGATGGCACAAATGTGCAGCACTGCAGGTCTCTAGCATGAGTTTCCACCACTGTTAAAATAACGACTTGACAGGCTAAAGGCCAGCAACCCAGCAGGGTCCTTACCTGCGATGATAAGACCAAAGGATTCTCCCTCCTTGCGGTTTAACTCCACATAGGCTATGTCAGTGCGCACAGGCTTGTCTGACAGGGGCACATAGGGAGGAAAACAGAAAAAGGAACCAGATGAATGGATTAGCAGGGACATCACTAGGAACTTAGGAAGCACTCTTGGCCTCCCCATGCAATTATGTGGAACACCTGCAAGACCTGACAGCATGAGGCAAGACAACAAGCCCATCCTGCTGCCTGCTCTGCGACTGCAAGGTACTGCACAGGACAGGGCCGGTGTGACTGGGGAAACGCCTTTACCAGCAACACCATCATGTTCAAGCACGCTATGTGTCCTGAGAGGCAGCCTTGCAGGTGTGGTAAGGAGGTGCATGTACTAACAACAATAAACATCTGTAGTAGATGCGCATACATGGACACACAAGACTTTTCAGGGGCATCTGCATCTCATCTCATAGCTTGTGTGATGTGTGTTCCCAAGAAAATGAGAAATGCGTTGTGTGAATGTCTAAAGGCACTGTCCAATCAACAACAAGACCACAAACGAGATAAACGTGACTGATACCAGCAGGCCCATCACTCCTGTGGTATTGTGACAATGCAGTTCATCAAGTGAGCAAAGGCTGAGCAAAAAGAACGTTTTCAAAACTCAATTACTGTGCTGGTGAAATGTGATCCGTTGACATTGCGATATCGCGTGTGGCGGCGACACTTTGCCTTCTACCATTCAGAGTATAACACCCCCCCCCCCCCCTCCTTTAAATGGCATCAGGGACACACTGACTGAGGTTGTTATAGCACTGAATACGGATGCCTGTGATTATAACTACATGTAATCGTGACCGCAAAGTGCAATGTAGGAATCCCACTAGATGGCGCAACCTTGTATGAGTCACCAGTATTAGTCCATACCAAGAAAGGTGACCGTGGTGCCTTAATTCTGGAATGCTAGTAACAAGACAAACTCACTGTATTTGCCAGGTGCTCCCGGAAAGCTGGACCTGAAGACATATTATTGGGCACATCACACAAACACAGCAAAAAAAGTGAACTGCATGGTAAAGATTCACTGACACACAATGAACGTCTTCAGTATAATTATTATCATTGGAAAAGCCACAAACAACCTGTCCATTGCAACAGACACTCCATCTCTGGTCTGGTCTATGTCCACAGGAGAGTAGGGGAACATACACACACACAGGAGAGTAGGGGAACATACACACACACAGGAGAGTAGGGGAACATACACACACACAGGAGAGTAGGGGAACATACACACACACAGGAGAGTAGGGGAACATACACACACACAGGAGAGTAGGGGAACATACACACACACAGGAGAGTAGGGGAACATACACACACACAGGAGAGTAGGGGAACATACACACACACAGGAGAGTAGGGGAACATACACACACACAGGAGAGTAGGGGAACATACACACACACAGGAGAGTAGGGGAACATCAAGAGCACTAGTAGTATTTTTTTATTTTCCATGGGGGGAAGCCTCAACAGTGATGAACACAACTCTCAACAGTGATGAACACAACTCTTAAGGGGGCCCATAACAGAGTAGAGGGGTGTGGGGTGAGAACTAGTACATGTACACAACTTCATGACAAAGGACCGACCATGGCAGCAATGAATAATTATGTCAATGATATGCATGCCAACTGAACAGTTACAATGCACAAGCAGTACATTTGCTCGCCAGGCATGCACATGCAATGCATGGAAAATGTAATGTAGTAAGTTGCTACTCATGGCAGCCAAGTACATACTAGAAACTAAGAAAGGGCTCATCCTTGGGCATGAGCATGGACACTGAAGACATTGAATGAATGGTTGCTGGCCAACTGATACAAATGTCAACTAATATCTCACATAGAGAATGTATACCCAGCAGAAGAGACCTTTGTATCTCCATGTTGCCCCCTGCCCTATTCATAGCTAAACCATAAAGTTCTGTTGAATGTCCCATTGTGAGGTCCCCAATGCAGACCAACCATCAGATTGAAAATGCTCACATCAAAGAGCGAGTGCTGGGAGGAAACTGTCCATGGCTATTTTGTACATACTTTCTCCGGGACAAAATCATCGCCGTATTGTTGCCTCTGAGTTTCCATATGGGTGGACTCTATATTCAAATTACTACGCCAGTGGAGCCTTTGTGGGACGGTTGACCACAACCTGAACATAGACTCTCAGTCATGCAGGTAAACAGTTTACCAGACTAGAAACAGCACGTAAAGCTAACCAGACTTGAAACAGCATGTAATGATACGTACATCATGGTCAGCACTTTGCAATATGGTCGTGATCTGCCATCTATTCTTAGTTGATTGGAATCACTAGCACCATTCCTACTAGTACCACACTATCAACATTACTATTATTGCAATAACCGGTTCTGAAGAGTTTTGTTGCATTTAGACAGACAAACTGAGGTACATGTAACTCTGAAGAGATGAGTTGTGCACCATAATTGGCCACTGTAGCATGATCATTCCCCACTCTATCCAAAGTAGTAGTATGCCAAGCAGAGAATAGTGTGCTAGTGTGCGTGCTAGTGTGCGGTGGCTATGCATGTCAGATGGGCCAGTTTAAAGTGGGAAGTGCCCTGCAGGAAAGGAGGCCATTGCCAGGCAGCATTCCTACAGGACATACAATTTGGGAAACTGGTCCTTGCTAAGTAACTGAGTGTGTCCTTGACATGCACAGCCCTGCACTAGGCACCTTCAAGTGCCAGCATCACTCAGTGTACATCAAGTGGCCACTTTAGGCTACAAACTGCTAGCAGCCACACCAGTCAGGGTAACAGGCCGGAACAAACTCCACACTCAACCACCCAGCACCACCACCATAAGCATTGCATTGGTGCTCTGGCACAATCTCTCCCTTGCCCTTTGCCCGATAAGAATCCCAGCATCATCGGCAAACACTGGTAACTACGAGTGCTCTGCTCAGAGGGGAGCACATCATCGTGCACAGCTTGCAGGGAGTCTATGAGTCAGGACCTAATTCTATTGCTTTGGTGGCTGCCGATAGTGATCCTAATAATATTATTGCCAAGTTGGCATCACAGTGGAGCTCATGAACTACATCACTTGAGAGTTAGCTAAGAGGATGATTGTAATCACTGTTGATAAAACACACCAATTCAATTCATTGTTTCCCAGTGGATCAAAGGAAAAGATTTGATCCCGGCTCCTGTGCTCCCTTGGCACTATCACAAGAAACCTTTAAGCAATGGAGTGCTTTCTGATGTTTGTTGTAATGAATAGAACATCCTGTTGTGAGGCCATACACATACATATCTCCTGACACAAGCATATGTATGAACACAAGGCATGGGTACCAAGTTTAGTTGGGTACTGAAGTAATACTAATAGTTCCTCCAGGTAGAAACCTGACAAATGGCACAACTCCCCATTAGATTTGAGTGCAGGGCGGATCATGGAAACAACACCACTGCAAATCCCGGTGCCCAGAAAAGTGAGTTTAAGCCAGGTTGACACACCCAACCTACTTCAATACACCTTTACTTAGTTAGCAGCTAACCATATTCCATCGTGTGGCGGCCTGGCAAACGGATTTCCTGTTTCAGACCCAGACCCACTAGTTTTAGTACCAGTTGCAATACAGAAAACCAAACACACTGGGAGATGCCGGAAGTTACACACTAAGTCACACGCTTTGCCTATTACAAAAACAGTCACCTGAAGGCGAGGGGTAACTCACAAAGCCCGTACCGATACGCCAGACTGAGGAAATCTCCGTTTCAAGAACACACCACTACAGCAACAGCCAGCACTCAGCAGTCATCGTGCAAGACACAATGATGCCCAGGGTCTGCCAACAACAGTTGTACGCGTCCGTTGTAAAGCAGCCAGCAGCCACGCAACACCCGGGCAAATTCAGCCTGTGGACAATGCGAATACAACGCACCACGGCTACATGTAGCCTAAGACTTGGCCCACGATGAGCAGGGACAGGCCGTGACATCAAGCTGCCATTGTACCCACATCACACAAACATGTTCTACTAACTACCTTACAGGTAACCATAAGCCCAGGCCATAGATGCTAGGCCATTGCTCAAAATGTTCACAGTCAGCCCACACAATGTCTGGCAGCCGATTACTAAGACGTTTGTATGCTATTTCGCAACACAAAGCATTGACTAGGACCTCCCAAGAGCTGGCTGATTACAGCTGTGCTGCTTGGGAATTCACACCACAGAAGTCAGTTTTGATAACACTCTACTCCCTGGCTGACGCTCAGGAACCCCACCCTCAATGTGGGTAGACTGGGAAAAGAATATGAGATGATTCGTTCTATGCTATTTGGAAGTGTGACTTCACTGATAGTGAAATCAGCCTACACACTCTAACAGACTGCACCACAGTCTGCTTCTAATAATTATAGTTCTACATGCACCGAACACGTCCTACATGCATCCATTTAATTCCACCCCCAACCTTTGCCAATGATGCACGCCTGTCAATACTGCAACAGACAGCACATGCCATGCTGCTACTAGTACTACAATGTACATGTGGACGTAGAGGTCATCGCAAGACTAAGAGTAGGGAATGGTGCAAGGGTGGTGTATCACTGTACATGATGCAAGGGTGGTGTATCACTGTACATGATGCAAGGGTGGTGTATCACTGACCTGTACATGATGCAAGGGTGGTGTATCACTATGATGCAAGGGTGGTGTATCACTGTACATGATGCAAGGGTGGTGTATCACTGTACATGATGCAAGGGTGGTGTATCACTGTACATGATGCAAGGATGGTGTATCACTGTACATGATGCAAGGGTGGTGTATCACTGTACATGATGCAAGGGTGGTGAATCACTGTACATGACTCAGTGTATATTGCATTATTGGTGAGAGTTTCTCACAACCACCAGTGGCAGTGACCTTGTCAGAAGGTTCGTATTGGATCTAACCCCAATTCGTAGATAACCTTCAGACTTTCTGATTACTGCCAGTGCGGTCAGTTTAGACATACACTGGTTGTTGTACAGTGACTTGAGTATACAGTGTCCCGTGTCCTTATCTACATGTCATTCTATAGTAGGCTCAGGCTGGTATGGTGGCATACCACTGAAACAAATAGCTCAGTTATCAGTGTGCATTATATCCATGGTGTTGGTGGGGAAGAGGACCAAAACGGCAAAAGGCCCCAAGCAGCACCATCCAGACAACCCAAGATGTGTAGCAAGTAAAAACTGACAGGCTGTCAGGCATGGTACAACGTATGTACGTCGTACCACGTCCAAAAGTGAGCACATACACATACACACACACACACACGCACACACACACACACACACACACACACACACACACGCACACATACACACACACACACACACACACACACACACACACACACACACACACGCACACACACATACATACATGCACACACAGGCACGTACACAGGTACGCACGCAGGAATATGCCTGTGAGAAGCTGACTAAGTAGTTACTGTACAGTGCCAATATTACAATATTTTGAAGAAACAGTTCTGTTTGAAAATACTTCCACATGGATCCCTTGTTATGACACAAGCATCACACAGTGTTTTTCTTTGCCAAGTCTTGGCACAATGTGCTTGCAAGGTGTCAGCTCGACCTCAAATTCCAGACTAAGATAGGTAAAGACCACTGCACAGGATTGCTGGGTGCATGTGTTTACTCCTGTCCTACTAGTACTAGGTAGCATGGCTTGTTGATTATGTTGTTCTTCTCCTCAGCCCAGTCTCACATTCACAGTGCAGAATACAACTGACTGACAAGTCACACTGGTCACACTGGTCACACTGGGACAGGTTGAACAACTGACTGACAAGTCACACTGGGACAGGGTGAACAACTGAATGCGGCCAGAAAGTCCAGCTGAGAAACAGTCAAAACCTGCTAGTGCCAGTGGGAGTCTGCCAAAGCAAGTGTGACCAAGACATCCTCCAGCCTAAAACAGCAGGACAACTATTCTCCAATCCAGAAAGGCTGCTTGATATGATCAGAGCGTGTCACCCTAGCCCATATAAACCCCAGCTGTGCTTCCGGGCAGTTTATGCTCCTGTGTATGCACGTTTTCTGCACCCTAACGCTTGGCCAAGTAATAAGTAAAGACAAGTGGCATCGGTCAGAATCTGTGACTGTGGACTTTCTAGAATCGTGCCCGGGTAGAAAGCAGGGTGAAAGCAGTGACTACGATGGGAGAGAATGCAGCGCGCCAGCACATCTACACGCCCTGTAGTCATTGGCAGAAAAATACCCAACACTAGACAACAGAGACGGTCCCACTGCACCGGAGCGAGGCTGTACGAGCGGATGTACGAGCAACGATTGTTACGTGTGCTTCGGCTGTCGACACCAACCTTTCAAGAAGGAACGTGCTGTTGGCTCGTTATGCAATTGACGACACTGCATCTTCTGACGGGAGAAATGCTTTCAATTATTATTAATTTTGTTTGTCCTGAATCAATCTTGCGCAGCGACTATGGCAGTTGGATCCCAGTTTCACTCCCTTCTGCTACGGCAGCAGTACCAACAATTGACAATAACCGTCACACACCAGCGACGATCGGCCTAACTTACAATGCAAAGTGCACAGGAAATTTTATAAACCGAAACGGCACTTACCCACTGCCATGGCCGAGTCGAGTCACAGTTCCGTTGGACACCGGTAGGCGACCTGCAGTCACATCAATAATAGACAATGCAAGGGGGGTCAGAGCTGCAGAGGTAGAAAAAGCGCTCGCTAGTAATCGCACCGGGTACCGATCAGCGCACCCCAGCAGTCTTACATTACACCGATACTAGTAGATACCCAGCAACGCAACGCACGATGCGAACGCCACGGACTAGGAGAGAGAGAGAGAGGAGAAGAAAAGCATAACCCCACATGGCCGAACCTCGACATCTCTAGTGGTTCTACGTTTGTGCAAAACGCACAAGCGCTGGCGAAACCACAGCAGGGGTACAAGTGAACCACAGGGCATACTATGCACAGATTGTCACCACACACAGCACGCCAAACCATGACAGCCATGAACAAGCTAACAAAGTAACAATGCGGGCTTGAACGAGAAGGAACGCCAGCAATAATCTCTCTCACATAACTATCACGCTGTCTTTAATTACGACGACGGCACTCAACTCTCAGTGGTCTACGACAGCAAATCCCATGCCAATACTCAGCACAAACACGCACATGAGCCCACACAAGCAAAAGGGCGTCACGCGCAGCAGGCACACTTCGCGCGGGAAAAGGAAGCCAGAGCCAGAGCCTGACTAGGCTGAGGTTGAAAGCACTGCACGGCGGAAGGACGAGCTGGAACGGAGCCCTCCGCCAATGATTATGTTACAAACAATGCACAACTGAGAGAGTCAGTGGGCGCGCACGAACTGCAGGAACTGCTCCTGCCATGCCGCCGCAATCACCAGTCTATACCAGAGTTACTTACTCCCATCCTTCTTCTTCTTTTTCAGAAGAAGAGACGCTCTCCGTTTCAACTTGGTTGCAGCGGAGGGCATACTGGGTACTCCAACACACGTGATCGTTAGATCAAATCTACAGGTAACCACGTTTCACTGGCTATGAAACCAGAAAGAAAGGCAGCCGCCGCGACATCCACGGCCACCGTCCTCCGATGGGTAGCTACACACAACGCTGCCGAGTGACTAACACTAACTAACTGCTTACTGCTTCACTACAGTACAAGCCACCACCACCAGTACTGAAATACACTCTGTGTAGTGTGATGCTGTCAGGCCAGCACCAACCCCTGAATGGTCCAAATCTCCAGCACGTCCCTTGATTTTTGCAGAAAAGCAATAACCTGCGGGATTACGGGCGCTGCTGCCTAGGCGTATCTCTCGCCTCTTCGCCAAGCGTTTCGCTTTCGCGAAGTGACACACTTGCGCTAGGCGTAAACAGACCCAGCGTGTAGATCTAGACTACGGCGCGCTAGCGCTCGACCCTTCTAGACTTGAGTCTTGAGACAAGATAGTTAGTTGAGTCAAGAAAGGGGAGAGCTACTGAGTGCTAGCTGTAGTGTAGGTTAGTAGGCAGCGGTATCAGCTATGCACGGTGTGTCTGTCTGTCCGTTTCGCTACGCGCACGCAAACACTGACACTGCTAACAAGCAACAGTAACACTCAGCTAGCAGCTCCGCCTCAGCTCAAGTATTAGTTTCGATGACTACACTCGACTGGCTTGGCTCACGACTCATGGTATAACGTAGATCTCAACACCAGCGCGCAACTAAAAAAAGTCGACTCGCACCGAGTCTGCCTTGTAGTTGTACTTTTTAGTACCTCTTCGATCAGTTCTGCGGCCACGTGCACACGATAAACTAAACTGCATGCATGGAGCCGGAGCCCAGGCAGCAAGCCAGGACTGATTTTACTTTATAGAGCGTCGCATGCAGTACATGTGGTAGATCTACATGCAGGACGTCGACGAGTTCGACCAACCGACCGAGGACCGGGGACATCGGGTGCAAAAACGTCAAAGTAAGTTGAAATGTGACCTTCTCACGGGTTCAAGCCGGTGTTGCTAGAACTACTTGCTTAGAAGTACAGTGTAGTAGAAGATCGTCGAAGTCACGTGAAGTAACTGGTAACAGTTAGTTGTACCAGGGAGTAGTAAAATACTCCCTGGTTGTACCAGACTGCATGGTGTGGCGCGGAGTGAATAAAGTAAGTTACGGTATTACATGTCAGGTGACCGTTTCCAGGTCTACAGCCAATCAGCGACCAGATAGAGCGGGCAATATTTCTCCATACAAGCCCGCTCAGGCGGTCCAATACTACACGATATTGCCCGGCATTTGACCCCATACACACTGTACGCATACACATACAAATCGTACACGCGTGTACATGCGGAGTGCCGGCCCTCGGATGTCGGATATCCGGCCTTTGCTGGAAGTAACAGTTTGGACTTTGGAGTATGTGATCCCTGGTAAATGGTGCCTCCGAAGTCTGAAAGTGAACAGAGAGTGAAAGGAAGTCACATTCCAAGATCTCTGCAACAGTTTCACTGGTGGGGAGGTCACTGTGCACCATGTCAATGTACATGTACCCCAACACGTCCTTACCTAGTACATGTACCTAGGCGACCGATGGTAACCCAATCAGATCACTGCACTGAACTCTGGAGAATGATGCCCCGTGGCCACCACAAGTGCATGATGACCCAGGAACAAAATGCGGGGGCGTTGCACCAGCAGTTGAGCACAAGGCACACTGAAAGTGAAAAGTGATTCTCCTTCTGCCATTTTCTCTGGCGAAACCCACCATGTGCGGGCGACAATATTGCTACTGGCAATTCACGATGCCCAATTATAGCCACTGTGCTAAGGCGGGCAATGGCTACTTCATGATGAATCGCTGCAAGAAGTATTTTCTTTGGCTCAATACTGAGATTCGAATGTTGACACTGCAGAACTGAGCCAAGCGGGGCAACAAGGAGTGGTTAACTTGTACAGGGGTACATCTTCAATCACCTGGACTAGCCACGACTAGAAATAGTTCACAAGTCTATGATTATATTTGTGGAGGAGGGTGCACACATTACCACACAACACCCACATGGAACCGTGGCCATTGCTTAGCTACTGCTTCTCTTGCATAGCAAGGACTCCCTGCGAGCACACGCACACACACACACACACACACACACACACACGCACACAAGCACATACGTACGTGTACATGAGTGTGCACGTACACTCTTTATCTTCCTCCTTCCATCATTTTTTTTAAACCCGCATGTGTTTCCACGCGTGTCCAGCCATGTCCATGTACACGTATGTCATACATAATGACTGCAAGTGTTCACAGGTAGGAACACTAACTCAATTAGGGGATAATTGCTGGCTGGGCAACCTCTCAGCAATTACATATGCATGTAGGCACACTAGACAACTTTTGAAAGCTCACTCCCACTAGTGCACTAGTATGCCTAATGCATTCCATTATGTACAAGCTACAACTATCTTGCTTTCATGCTCAGTAGCACAGGCTTTCTATGCACGCTTCATCGACTTCATGAAATCCAATTGTTTTAAAATCAACAGTGTGTATCCGTCACCCGGTAAAAATCATTATAATAGCAGTTTCAATGTCAACACGTCAGGGAAGCGAACTGCCGGAAAAGCGAAAAATGCCAGGACTCGAACATGGGACCTGGCTAACATGGGACCTGGCTAACATGGGACCTGGCTAACCTGGGACCTGGCTAACCTGGGACCTGGCTAACCTGGGACCTGGCTAGGCATGTGCAATGCTCTAACCTCTGAGCTTTGGCCCAGTTTCAGGGGAGCAGACTGAGCCTGGAAGGAGCTGAAAAGAGTTGCGCTCCAAAGGCAGCTCACAACACTGACGTGCCAGACACACTGATGCCACTTCGATCTTTTCCGGGGGGGGGGGGGGGGCAAGCAAGGTCAGTTTCTGGAACGTATTATCAGAGGTTATTTGAAGCTCTCCCATTCCCATACAAATGAGATAATCAGGACCTAACCAAAGATACATGTGCATGTACCTACAGGACCACAGGACAGTCGATTACTTCAATGCTCCTGTGCTCTCTGCTGAGGTTGTTTGTCAAACATTGCTACTAGCCAGGAGTGTAACTGACCCAGTGGTGGCGTTGCAATACTCCGGTGGGTTTTGTGCGGCGCACATCCACACACTCAGTCTACAGCACGCTGTGACCAGTCATGGCACTGGAGACACACACTGTGCCACAGTAAGTGCTCCTAGGTAAGTAGACTTCTGTAACATTCAGTGCCTGATGGTTGCCAGTCACAATGGATGCCATTCGAAAGGAATACTAGTATAATTACTAGTATTGGATAGTGAGAGAAGCCAAACTATTCATGGACTCGTATCACAGAGTTTGTGTTGACTGTGCGGCTGACTGGCAGCCAGTTAATTTAAAAGCTATTTTTCTAGTGAACTCCTGTTTCCTTATGAATAATACCCTTTCACAGTTCCTTATGAATAATACCCTTTCACAGTCAACAAACTCTTCTTAGCCCAATCTGATAGCAATCACCTCAATGTTGAACTAGTGATGGGTTATCTTTCAAGCTTGAGTGTTATTCCCTGGAGAGGGAAAGAAACCACTATTCAGATGCCACAAAGCCTACGGATACACGACACTAGACGATCTGTGAATACATCCAGAGATACATTAGTAGTAGTACCAGTCTCCCGGCTACACTGACAAAAACCATGAATTGCCAGCCCGCGTGCACTCCCGTACTCCCCAGCACACCCACGGTTCTGGGATCAAGGATGTATACACTGCATGGCATTGAGTTGTGCACATTGCACATACCAGGGCTGAGCTTGCCATGCCAAAACTGTGCCCTCAGTCACTCATGCCGTGTAGACGGTCCCATTGCAGTATGAGCTCATACACTTGCAGTGCAGAGTGGGAATGCCAGCTGTCACTGTATGTGTTCGTCCTCGTCCTAACTCTAAAGATTAGTCCTGGTCTGTTGGTGTCGCCGTACCAACCGGAGGCATCTCTGCAGCTGATAGTGACATGTCCAGCGGCCCATATTGTGTAGCACTGAACGATCATCATTATCACCTTCTTTCAAGCTCAAATAGCAGCCTCTTCACGACTTGCCAACATAGCAACTTACTTATTGACAAGCACCCACTACTCCCAATGATCAGCGTCTCTTCCAACAGGCAAGACTAGGCTAGGAGCGCATTGCAGAAATCTTGCACAATAATTATTTAGGAAGTTAGTCCTGGAATAGGCCCTTGCAAGCACACCAAGTATGGACTGCGCATAAGTGGTCACTCGTGAAGCCGGAATCAACAAAACTTGGCACCTAAGCCTAGGCTAAGGGACCCCTGCTGGAGTCTGAGCCTGATAAATATATGCCATGATTCACTTTACATGAGTACTGGAAATAATTGACAGGACACACTGAAGCTGGCTAGCACATAATAATGATAATAATGAATGATGCACTCAGCCAGAGATGAGAGCGATGCCCAGTACAGTAATGCCAGTAATGGCATGATGACAGCACTGTGCAGGTCACTGGGTATTACAGCCTTACAGGTCTAGTGCCGGACCTACATGCACATGTACATGTACACTACACTACAGGCTCGGTGAGTACAAGACACAGATAGCAGTAGGCACCGGCGGATAATGCCGGCAGAAAAATTGGCAGAATTCGGTACTTTTTCTGGTAAGTTTCATGCATGTTTGGAATGTGGATAAAGAAATGGAGCAGAATTCGAGGAATTGCCCGCCATAAGGTTCGTATGGTTCTGCCAATTTCACTGCTCTTCGAGCAGAATCTGCCACCTTTTCGAGCATTATCCGCACACCCCTAGATAGCAGAGATAGTAGTAGCAAGAGTAAATACACTCCCTTGCTAGGTACCCCTGCATGCTCTAGTACAGTAGTCGCCCACACAAATCTGGATACCATCATAGCATTCTGAAGTAACTTATATTCCTCATTCTACTTCGAAGTATATTCCTATCTAGGAAAACCAGGGACTAGCACCACAGCTGATGGTCCCATGGCATGTACAAGTACACCGGCTAGTTGGCACACTAAAAAAAGTAAAATTTGTATGAGCCTACCCTACAATACTTCGAAGGCGGACACTTCAGGTTTTTTTTAACCACATTTTGAAAGTTTTCGCTAGTATACATGACTGTACTTTCAAGCCTTATGGCCAGACAACTGCAGTAACCTCCTAGTGTGAATCCTAGACCTGAGTGATGGGGCAATGCCTGATCATGAGAACCTTTCTTCCGCGACATAATGTCAGTGCTGCTCCGAAACGACTGACACCAGTCATACAATACTTGGGAGATCAATTCAAATTCGATCCCTCCCCTTAATCCACACCTGATTCACACAGGACAGTGAGCCTAGACTGGGAAACCCCCCATTGTCCTGTCCAATTCACACAATCACAGTACGTCTGAAAATAAATATGCCACATGTGCTACTAGTTGCCAAACTGCCCCAGAATGTTTACCAGGGTGTCTAAAAACGACCCAACCTGCCCTTGCCACTCAGAATACAGCACATGAGCAATATGGCATTGTGCCCCATAGACCTGTCAGCGGTGGCTTGAAACAAAGATTGGGAAACGAGGTTCGATAGCTGCTGAGCACTGGATATGCCAACCATACCACCAAA